GAGTCAGGAAGTCAGGGCCGCAGCATAGAGGCCCCCTCTCCAAAACACTGGCCTCAAGGTCTGCGTGCGTGTCGGGGTCCAAGCATCTGGTTTGTGTGTCCTCTGTGTGTGAGATAGAAATACGTGACTGTGTTTATGTGTGTCGGTATGTGTGGTTTTTAAGTGCGTCTGTGAGTTCTCGCCAGCCTGACTACGTGGAGTGTACGTCAATGTGAGCGTGCATCTTTGCTCACACTTGTGTTTCTCTCTATTTGTGTGTACATGTCAGCGCAGTGTGTGTGTGTGTGTGTGTGTGAGTGCACCTGCGTGAACTCTAAGTGGGAGCATTTCTGTGTTTGCACCTAAGCGGTTGGTTTCATCTTCCCGTATTTGCATGTGTGTCCTTGTTTGTGTGTAATCTCATATGTGTTTTTGCGTGCGCACATGTGCACACTCCTAGCTGTTCCCAGCTGGCGCGGTTGGTCACATGACCTGACTGAGGGGCGGCCATCAGCAGCGCCAGGAAACTGCCTGCAGGAGAGAGAGAGAGAGATAGAGGAGAGAGAGTGTCAGGCTGAGTTGAAGATGAGGGAGGGGTGTTTGGGAGTGGGAGCGTGTGTTGTGGGAGAGAAAAACTGGGGGTGGGAGGTGTGTGTGTGGGGGGGATGCTAGAGAGATGAGAGAGGGAACAGCGAGGAAGAGAAATGAGGAGGGGGGTGGAGGAGGAAGAGGAAGGGGTAATATAGTCCTCCTCGTCTTAAAATAACTACAGCATGTAGGTTCCTGCAGAAACAACAGGCGAGAGACAGTCGGATAGTGAGACAGTCGGATGGGGGTGGGGGGTCCTGGTTTTGTGTTGTCTAGTGTTTCCAGCTACTTCTCCCGTCCCCTGTGTGCATCCTTGGCTGAGCCGCCACTGTATCTGGTCTGTGTGAAGTCTGTTTACGTTAGATGTGTGTCTGTCTGTCTGAACGTCTGTCTGCCTTTTTTGTTTGTCTGCACATATGGTTTATGTGTTGCTCTCTGTTCATTTATATGCTTTGTGTGCGTGTTTGTTGCGTGTGTGCGTGCACACGCTTGCTCTTGGCAGGAGATACAGCACGCACACTGATGATGGAGATCATTAGGAATTTCCTGCAGCTGGGGAGGTGGTGGGGGGGTTTTTTTGGAGTTGGGGCAGGACGGGTGGGATGTGAGTGGGTGAGAAAAGAGGAGAGGTCAGAGTGAAGGAGAGAGTGAGTGGGTGGGGAGGGAGGTGAGGGTCCGTATGTAAGTGTGTTAGTTGGACTGTCTCTGTTTGACTGACGTGTGTGCATTGAGCTGCAGTCCACCAAGTTCAGCTGTGTTTTTGAGGGTTTTTGGTGGAAATCAGTGTGAGAGCATGTCGGCCCCAGTAGTATAATATGTGTGTAGCATTCTTCGCCCCCATTGGCACACTTACACACACCTTAAGCTCTCAAAAAAAACTCAGGTCTGTTGATTGCAAGAGTTTGGATGTGCTTAAATTTGAGCTGTTCAGTGTTACTGCCTGTTGGGCTACAATGCACTGCAGTCAAGGCAAGACCTTTATACCTTAAAACTTTGGCTGAGCATTGAGTAAATACTGAAAACTTTTTTTCCCACAGCGGGAAGAAAAATATATCTTTTCAATCCAATATGTCCACCTATCAGTTTAAGATGATCTCTACGTTCTGTTGTGTGATGTTGCTGAAGCTGAATCAAGTTTGTTTCTTTTATCCCCAAGCTGTTATAAAATGACTTCGAAATGCATTAGAACTTAATTTCCATTTAATTATTATTTTTTATTTATGTAGCTCCACACTCCTATAATTCACGGTTAAGTATTTGATTTGATTACTACACACAGTGAGTGTTAAGAGTTCATTGTCCACTTTAAAGTTGATGATATTAACGCCATGTAATGTGTAACGTTTCATTGACAAAGTCAGACAGATGAATACTCTCTAGAACACAACAAGACACACTGACATCACCTCATGGATGACTTGAAAACAGTTAGTCATCAAGTTGTCTAACAGTTTTGTTGATTGTGTTTTGTATTATGTTTCTCAGAATTCTCTTGAGTGAGTATTTTGATGCACAACTTCTCCGTTTTCATAGAAGTTGTGCATTGTTGTGTGTTGTATGTAGGTTTGAGGCTGCAGGTTGAGGTTGCATCAGGGTTGAGGTGGTGTGGAGGAACGAGAGGCTGATAGTAGCTGAGTTCCTGCACGGTGTCACTCTGTCTCGGTGGACCCCCCCTCCCTACTTCCCCCTCCCCACCTCTCTTTCTCTCCTGGCCTCACATACACTTTCTCCATCTCTCTCCCTCTGTCCCTCGCTCTTTTATCCCCCCTTCTTCTTATCTGTCTAAACCTCTCTGTGGAGCTCCCCCCTCCTCCCCTCACCACCTCTCTCTCACTACCTCTCGCTCTTTCTCTCTCCCCTCCATGTCCCCCTCCCTTACACCCCCCCATGCTGTTTCGGTGCTGCTGCCTGTCTCTTAGCAACAACTGCACACCCGTTAGAGCTCAGTGAGTGCTTTTACAAACACACCCAGGAAGACACACTCATACACGCGCAGACACACACACACACACACACACACACACACACACATGCGTGCAAGCACAAACACATCCACACACACAGGGTCTAGTTCCTCATTGAGGGTTGCTGCTGGCAGGCCTGTGAGTCTGCAAGCCTTTGTGGCAGTGAGATAGATGGGAAGAGAATAGATATGCTGTACAGCTACCATATACAGAATGATTGTTTCTCTCAGACTATGCACAACAGGGCAACTGCCCAAACTGGAAAACGACAGGTTCTCGTGTCTGATTTCGCACTGGCATGTGCGCACATACACTCTGTGGCGCGTAATGTTGTTGCCTTTTCTGTAAACACCACAGCAGCACCAAAAACTTTTATGTGCAGATGAAAAATGTACGAGATCAAAAAATTTAAAGCAATATCATCTCGTAAGAGAGAGCTGCTCTTTGTGAAACAGATTCAACAGATCATCATGTGGGAGCACTGCACACCATCGGCTGTTTTCACAGAGACAATACTACGCCACTGTGTGTTCCAAAGCCCCAGAGCCATTCACAGTAAAATGCACCAAAACGCATTTGCTACGTATGACGGTGAATATATTGGAATGGCGGCTGATGGATGCCAGGAGTGTTTGCTTAAACAATGAATCATAGTGGGAGCGTTTGATTGGCTGGCATCTAAGCCCTGTCACAATGTCCCCCGCCGAGCACAGTAGAGAGATATTTGCATGTGTGTCTTTGTTTTGTGTGTGATTGTGCATGTCTGTATATGTGTGCATGTGACATGTATGTCTTTATGTGCAAATCGATGTGTGGGAGGATGAAGCTGTGGGGGCATATCTGAATGTGTTTTTGTGTGTTGGTATGTGTCGCCGTATGTGTGTGTGTGTGTGTGTGTGTGTGTGTCTGTGAGTGACAGTGTGTGCATGTATGTGTAAGCACATGTGCAGCAATGTTTAATTAAAGCATGTGTTCTTCTCCTTCTCTCACACGCCGGTCAGATGGAGCCTTAATTAATGAATGCTGTTAATTAGACGAGAGGGAAAGTGAGAACGAGAATGGGAGAGAAGGGAGGGAGGGGCGGGAGAAAGACAGAACTGGGCACGGGGAGGGAGTGGGTGAGGGGGTTAAAGAAAGTATGTGTTGTGTGTGTGTGTTCATCTCCGTGTGTGTGTCCCAGTTGTGTCATTCCTCAGAGCAGCACAGCATTGAGGTTGGTCTGCTCCATGTGTGCAGCCCCAAAGTCTGCAAAACTCTCACACTCCTCCTCCTTCTCTTCCTCTACTGCTTCTTCCTCTTGCCTCCTTCAACTTTTTTTCCCTCCCTCTTAAATCCGTCTGCCACTGTCTATCCCTTTTCTTACCATCCTTTCCGTGTCTCAATCATGTCTTTCACCTCCCCGTACTTCTGCCCTCTCTCATACTTTCTCACCCATTCACACACTCATTCTAGTGTCTTTCACCCCCTCCCCTCCCCGTCCTTCTCCCTCCCTCCTAATCAGAGCCATATGTTGGAGAGGGAGGCAGGGAGATCTGAGGATGGACAGGATTTTGTTGTATGTAGACAGTGTGGTACAGTGTTGGAGCCAGCCGTGCGCATATGTGCGTGGAAGTGTGGCACGCATGCTTGTATTTGTATTTGAATGTGTGCAGGGATGCAGTCACGTGTGAGTCTAATAGCACGTGTGGTCCAGATTTTGTAAGACTTGTTTCTGTTCTGGCTGTCTGTACTTCCATTTCTCTTCTGCTCTGGGTTTCTATAATCCTTCCATCGTTCCTGTCTTTCTGTCACCTTCATCTCTCCATCCTCTTAACACCTCTCTATTCATCACCTCTCTGCTTCCCCCTGGTGGCTGTGATTATTCACACATTCTCATTCTTTCTGCAACCTCAAAGTCTAGTGCTTTGTAATGCATTTGAATAGTTTTGGTGAAATGTGGCATGCAGTGTGACTGTGTGTGTGTGTGTGTGTGTGTGTGTGTCTGTGTGTGTCTGTGTGTGCTTCCACCACTTTTAATTGTTCATTATAATTTATAGATTTTTACTCCATCAAATATGGTGAGATTGAAAAATGTGGCACAAGTCTGGTGATCATCATGTAGTGATGATCCTTGTGTGTGTGTGTTAGTGAGCACATTGAAAATCCAGTAGAGTAGACGAAGTGGCAATGGTTTCCATGTGTACCTACAATCTGCTGGTGCGCATAGAAATGAAATACTAACTACAATTAGAGTTAAAAAATTTATATTGCAAGTCATCTTCCAAAATAATTGCGTCTGGTGCGAGATGGTGCAGCCCTCACCAAAATACTGATTCTAGTCTGGTCTGATGCATGCTGTGACATCATGTACTAATCTCTAATTCTCTTTTTCTTTCTGCTCCACCCTCCTCCACACTCCTTTCTTTTTCTCCCACCTTCTTCAACTCCCTGTCCCTTTCTCTGTCTCTCTCTTTCCTTCTCTCACTCTAGCAACCATGGGCAAAAGACAGGAGCAGAGGGGAGAGAGAGAAGTATGTGAGCTCTCCACTGCAGTATTGATGACCCAATGATCCCCTGCAGAACAGAGCCAGTCAGGCAGACAGAGTGAGGCTCAACTCAGAATCAAAATCAGAATCAGCGCCACAACCATTCGGTAAAAGCAACCAATTGAGCAGGATATGAATGGTAAATGTAATCTAATGTTGTAATGCGGCTGTGTGGGTGGCAGTTAATAGAGTAGAGTGCATTACGGATTAGGTTTATGGCCCATTGCCAAAAATGTTGACGATTATATCACACAACTACAATTTCATCTATGCTGCAAATGTTTGATATTTTACATGTAAAGTGCTTGAAACCTTACAATGATCAATATATTTAGAATCAAGGAGTTTAAATTTCATGTCTTAAGTGCAACGGGTTGATGTTAACCTATTTGTTGACTTCCTATCCAGTTGATAATATTGTTTTTATTTCTTTCCATAGGTCCTTGAATCTTCTTGCCAGCTATTAGAAGGAAGACGGCTACAAAGAAGAAACACTAATTTCTTCTTTGTGTTGGAACATCACCCTCTTTTTCCTCCCTCAGTACCAGCAAGACCATCAATTGAATGAGTGGCTTGTCAGATCACCTACATTCAGGCCAAACCAGGGCTCCAGTGGGCTGTGGTGGGACTCAGGCAGAAGGAAAAGCGTGTGTGGGGGGGCTGGAGGGGCTGGCAGGACCTGAGCTCTGGACCAGGGAGCTCGGGCTCCAGGAGGGGTCCCAGGATCCCTCTAACGATGGACTGGCACCGGTGACTTCCGACCACTTTCCCTCCTCCTCTCCTACCGCCCTGGCCAACGGCCTCCATCTGCAGAGACGGCTGGCACACAGCACCTGCCGGCGGAGGCAGACAGAGACTCATACTACTGCTGAGACGCATACATTTGCAGAGACACTTAGAAACATGCAAACGCACACAGACCCAGATGTGCATGCTGTTTCACACTCACACATAGATAATTGTGGACACATGGATATCAACACACATACGGGGTCTGTAGTGCCAGAACGCTCCAGAACTCTCACACCAGAGGCCATACACACAACTTCACCTCAAGCCCTGTCTTTGGCACATGGCAATCATCCTGCCTCCACCAATCAGCTGGCAGCACCAGTCCTCACTGCAGAGACAGACATGCCCTCAACCTTTTGTCCAGTCCCTGGTGGTCCAAACCCAAACATAGGCTCCTCTCCTCTTCCTGTGGAGGCAGAGAAAAAGTATGCACTCCGCAGCTCTGGACGTCCCCGCTTCCCCTGTCACCTGCGCAAATCCTCCCGCCTCCGCCGAAGCATAGAGGACGTGGAGAAGAGAGCAGCGAGAGAGAGGGGGGGAGAGGAGGAGCATGAAGTATTGGAGGAGAAGATCTGGAGGGTTAAAGAGGAGGAGGTGGCTGTTGTTGAGAAAGAAGAGCGTTCATCTATGGAGGCTGTTCTCCCCACGGTTCCCTGCCCTACAGACATCGCTTTTGCTCTAACTGTACCTAAACCTGTTCCTAAAGCCATACCAAAACCTGGACCCAGATTGGGGCATAGACCTGGCCCTAAATCCAGGTCTAGGCCCGCACCAAAATCTGTACATAAAGCAGCTCCTAAAAGTGTCATGAGAAAGCGTCAGGCAGCCCAATCCATAGCTCATCGCACTACCCCTCATCTCTCTTTTGCAAACACATCCACCATCCCTGCACCTTTGCTAGCTGTGAAGGAGGAACCTGTTGCAGACTTGGGGGCATCGCCTTCCGGTAGCCGGAGACGTGGGCGCTTTGTTGGCGTAAGTTAATTTATAGTTACATATCATTCTAGTAACTCATTGACCTACATTTCTTATCATGTATGGAATACATTTATTAGATTTGCATATGTTTTATATTGGTCTCTACTTCACAGGTGAGGAAGATTGTTGTCAAGGTGGCTCGCATTCCTGTGAGCCTTAGCCGCCGACAGAAGAGCTACAAGATTTCCAACTTGGAGACAGTTACAGGGACAGAGAAAGGCCAAGATGGTAGTCTGGAGGGCCCAGAGGTAGTTCGAGAGCCGACTGCACTTCTCCGCATGAAGAACAATGGAAAGAGTGTTATGGTGATGTTCCCCCCTGGTGAACTGCCTGTCATACTCAAACGCAGGAGGGGACGACCACCTAAACAGCCTCTGCCTGGAATACCGGGAGAGCCTCAGAATGCTGGGAATGCTGGTGGTAATGGAGACCAGCCCAAGAAGCCCCAGAGGCGACGTCGGACTAAACTCCCTTCCCCTTATCCATCTTATGTTAATGATACTAATGATGTGAAAACAGAGTATGGGGATGTTCTGTCCAAACTGGCCTTTTTAAACCGCCAGCCCCCTGCCACTGGCCGCTGCTCTCCCCCTCGCTGCTGGACACCCAGTGAGCCAGAAAGCTTTCATACTCCCCTTGAAAATCCTGGAATATCCACCCTGCTCCACCGACTCACTGGGTTCAGACGCCCCCGAGGTGGCAGAGGCGGCGGCACTGGAAGAGGTGGAGGAGGAGCAGGAGGGATTGGGGGCAGTGAGCGCAATAAGAGCACATTCAGTGACTTCTTTGAATCCATTGGCAAGAAGCGGAAACCAAGTCCCCTTTCTGAGCACGGATTACCTAGGAAAAGGGGAAAGGGTGGAGGTGGAGTTGGTAGGGGAGGGGGTATTGTTGGAACGGAGCCTGGAGGAGAGAAAGTAGTCAGGAAGAGACGTGTGAGAAAAAATGGTGCATTTAAAGGGGAGGGAGTGTCCATGGGGCAGGAGTGGCCCAATGGGGCAGGTGGCTGGGGTGAGGAGGGGGGTATGGACAAGGAGAAAGGTTTAGGTGGGTATCAGCTTTGTAGATCTTCAAGGGGGGGCTTTTCCTCCTGTGAGGTTGGAAGAGGAGGTGTCTACAGCAGTCCAGGAGGAAGCAGAGGGGTTGGGCCAGCTGGGGAGGACTCACAAGGCCTTTTTGCTGGATATTTCCGGTCACTCCTCGACTCTGATGATTCATCAGACCTGTTGGACATCTCTTCCTCGCAGTCAGATCCCCGCAAAGCTTCATCCACCCCTGGTTATGAGCCATCCAGTCCAGCTACTGGTCACAGCTGGTCCCCTGCATTCCCCAAGTGGAGCACCAAAGGTGCAAGTTCTGGGGTGGAGGGTTCAGCCCAGACACATTGCTCCTCAGCCAGGCCTCCATATAGCTATGGCAACCTGGCCCAAACATCGCCCACCACTTCTACCTATCCCAAATCCACTCCTCCAACTCTGTCACACTCTCCTAGCTCCCCCCACCCTGCCTCTTATGGCCACTTCTCCTCTGGTTACTCCTCCTCTTCTCCTGCAGTGCCACAGAGATCCTCAGACTGCAGCTTTGCATATGGATCTGGACACAGCAGTGGCAAGGCCACCACTGTTGGTCAAATGGGTTATTCTAGCTACCAGGCAGCACTCAAGCGAGGTTATAGTGGATATTCTGCGACAGGTCATTCCTCCATACTGCGGGGGGAGTCGACAGGACCCACATCACCAGGAGGAGCGTACATGTCTGTGGCCAAAAGTAGCCCCTTCAGCTCCTCCTCCTCTCCAGAAGGTTACAAACAGTACAACTCCAATCAGTGGAGCTACAGGTAAGTTACTTGTGGTGGCCTGTCACTGCAAAAAACAGAGTCAAAAAGTATTGCTGTGAAATAAAGACATTTCTGCATGGCTTTTTCAAACATGAACTTTGTATGAGGTTTAAATGAATAGGTGGTTAAATTTTTTCTTCAACTAAAAAGAGAAGTACAAACTAATAAAAGTCTGACCACAGCAGGATCAAAGAGATGTGAATTACTTAAATAAATGTTTAACTCCAGCACATCATTTTCAATTTAACCATGTCCACCATGTGCTAATTAACAGTCGATACCTGACATTAGTTAACTAAGGGCTACAACGTGCACTGTATTTATCCAGATTAGGAATCCATGGTCAGAACCTGCATTAATAGTTTTTTCTTCAGGTTCCCTATTATTGACTGGTGGAACTGCAACCAAGACCAAACTGAAATATTTCTCAAGTGCTCATATGTAGCTTAAGTGGCATTTGTGTGTTTTATAATTCGTGTTACTATATTTATGGGATTTTTTTTTGTTTTTGTTTTTTCAGACAAGGTTTTGGTGGCTGGGCAACAGACAGCTTTGGGCATCAGTATCACGGCTACAGTGAATATGGCTCCAATGAGTCCAAAGACATCTTGGATATCTCCAACTACACCCCCCAGAAGGCCAAGCGACAACCTTTTCCTGAAAGCCTTTCAGAATCCTCCTCTGACTCTTCACATCTTGGCTCTGTAGCCACTGGTAGTGGACCCAGCTCCACAGGTGGCACGTACAAACAGAATGAGGCTGCTTCTGTAAGTGGAGAGGGGGGTCAGTCAAGTCTGTCCAGCCTGGAGAAGTTGATGATGGATTGGCATGAGAGTGCTTCAGGTCCCTCGTATAACTGGAGCCAAAATGTCCTCTTCCAGGGTGGGGGAACCAGCAAACTTGGCCGCGGTCGGAGGAAACGGACTGAACCACAATTAGAAAAAGAAGGGGGTTCTGCTTTACACTCTGATTCTCCATCCAGTCCCTCCCCAACGCCCACTCCTGGACCTAAGCGGGGAGGGGTTGGAGGACGAGGCAGAGGGTCTAGAGGAGGCAGAGGGTGTTTGTCTCCATGTCAGAGAGAGCGGCCATCAGGCACCAAAGGCAGGGGCAAGACTGCCTCTACATCTGGAGGACCAGTGACTGTTGGAGGTCCAGAGGTGTCTGGGCTGTTCCAGGAGGGACTGGACTATTACAGTGGAGACAGTAGTAGCCTCTCTCCCCTGGCCACTCCCAATCCTGCACCACCTTCCAGCTACCTCCAGGACCCCTGTGAGTACCCTTCCCCTTATTCTGCCCACCCCTCCACACCTTCCTCCGAGGAGCGATATCCAGCCTTATACCCTGGTGAGTCCTCCTCTTCCCTCTCACCCAGTGTCTCATCTCCCCCTTACCCTCCCAAGCCCACCCCTCCTCCTCCCCAGTCTTACCACCCTGTCCCCTCCAGGACCTTCTCCCCCTCCTGCTCTCCCTCACCCCGGGTAACACCCCACTGCGGCACTGCACTGAGTCCCTCACACCGGCCCCCACCAAAAGACCCACAGTTCTCGCAGTATGACTCTCCCAGCTACTGCAGCTCCCCCTACTGGTACGGACAGACATCGCACAGCAGCAGCCCCAGCCCGCATTCACACAGCACACACTCAAATACAGCCGTGCACACACACAGCAACCCACACACAAGTCCTCATGGAAATACACATGGTAATCCGCTCACTAGCCCAAATGCGAACACACACACACATATGAACCCGACTCCCCATGACACACACCATCACAATACACAGCCCCACGCAAATCTGAGCTCACACACTAACACCCATCCCACCTCACACCTCCAGAGCAACCCCCTCTCCCACTCAAACCCTCACACCAACAATCAGCCCCACCACAACACACACACCAACCCCAACTCTCACCTCACCACCCATACACACTCCAACCCCAGCCCCAGCCTCCACTCCCACTCAACACCTGTGCTGTATGAGGAGTGCAGCCCTTCCTCGACTGGGCCCCCGCACAAGCGGGATATGACCCCCCATGCTATGAGCACAGGCCATCGCCAGGTCCCCTTGCCACTCTCCCCGTACTCCAAACCTCCCCTGGACTCCTCGCCCCATCAGGAGGACACTAGTGGCTTCACCTTGTCCCATCAATCCTACCAGGGCATGGGACACCGCTACCCCTCCCAGGCGACTCAGGGAGGTGGGGTGTTGTGCCAGCTCCTGGACCCAGCCAATGATGACAGCTTCAGCGTCACCAGCCTGTAACAGCAGGTGAGTTCATTAAAGCTTCAAACAAACAGTAAGGCCGTCCAACAACTAAGCTAAACTAACCACTGGAACTTAAAAGATGTTTCCAGAGGAGAGTCTGATTACTGAGGATGACCGTATTTTTGTTTTGAATGCGACTTATTAATTGTTATTTAATTAGACAATAAGGGAAAAAAATACATCAGAAATGAAAGAATGAATCCATCAATAGATACACCAAATTGTAAAGCTGTTTATTAATTGATATTCAATTGAAGATGAAGAAGCAGTATTAGTAGTTGAGTAGTGAGATTTTTGTGTGTTCAAAATAACAATAAAATAACAATTAATTAATTGTTTTTGCAAGACTTCCCAGGTACTCTCTAGATCCATGTTGGCAAATTGTTGCTCATTTAATTGAAGCAATATGTGATTTTTGGTAGTTTGTATCTCAAAACATGTTCAAGTACAAATATGTAAATCAATAAAAATTGAGTACAACAATAGTACACTTTTAGCACCAAGTCAAACAATAGAAACATGGCTTTACTTACAGTAAAGTAGGTTTACAATTACTTGTTTCAATAGTGTCAAGGTTTAGCTCATTCAATTCAATTCAAAATAGTATGCTTTCCATGTTACTCAATCTCTCTTCATCTCTTTCTCTCTCCCTCTGTTTTCTTTCAGGTGCATTCAATCCAAGCTTTTACAGATTTGCAAACATTTTCTTTTCTTTTTTGGTAAGGAGACTTCTTTGTGAGAGACTGTGAAATGAAGGGTGAGAATTTAGCTGCCAGCTTTGGACAGTAAAGCTTTAATTCTCCAGCACTGACAATCAAGATCAACAGCAACTTAAACACCTAAGCATGCACACACACACACACACACACAAATGCACAAACACACACACAAACACGCACACATAGACACGCATGTGCAGATTAATTCACTACCTAAACAAGAACACATAAATCCATACATGTGTACACTCACTCACACTCTATGCTGGAATGAGGGAATGGCCGAGAGGAGCTGACAGATGAATACCAGACGCTGACGGACAGATATAAACCTATTTCCTCACCCCTTTGAATCCTGCTGTGATACGTGGAGGACTCAGTTTCCCAGAAGTCTGTATCTCACCAATCTCCTGTTCTGTACATCTGCAATATGGACAAGCTAGGATCATACTGCTCTCTCTCTTTCTGTGTCGTTCCTCTGTTCTCTCTCAACCTCCCCTCCTCTGCTAAACCAGCAAATGTGGTCTGCACTCGACCTACACAAACCTTGCATTTCTGTCTTGTGCCCTAACCTGAACCGCATCTGAGCCCAAATCAACTTTTTAAATACCGTGAGCCTAGCAAATGTCCCGCTCTGTGCACTCCCTGTATTGTGTACCAAAAGAGAAAAGTGGACAAAACCAGTTTCTGCTCTTGAAATACCAGCATCTGTACATACGACTCCAGCTCCAAGCCAGGGGCCCCCTCTTCACTCTGAAGGTCCGTCATCAACATGCCCTCCTCAGCGTTCTGCCATGGTTTCTCTGCTCTGGGGGGGGGGGACTGCAGCATGGAGACCCAACATCCTGTGTTTTGCTGTTTTAACTACAAGGGAAAGAGACATTGAAATCACACAACGGCCCCAAAGAGACTCTTGTTTTCTTTGTGCGAAACGCGTGACAGCGGAGGATGTGTTTGCGTGACTGCAGTAATGCATGTATTTGTGTGTATGTGTGCATTTATGTTTGTGTGAGTGTGCGTGCCTGTGGGGTCAAAAGGAGTAAAGCTCCCCAGACACCAAAGTCTTGGCGGGGCCTCATTATTTCTTTCACTCTCTCCCTTCTTTTTTCTGTGGTCTTGTGTTGTTTGGTGGTTTTTGTGATGAAAAAATTGTATATCTGTCTGTTACATATCATGTATGTATCTGAGGTGCAAAATATTTAAATACACATTCTGTTCTTGCCATTGGTAATCTTGTCTATAGCATACTGCTTCTTTAAGGGATTAAGGGAGGTGTGAGCATGTTTGCGTGTGTGTGCGTGCGTGTGTTTTAGAGCCTCCATGAGTATTGGGCTTTGCCCAGGCTGTCTGGGACTGTGAGCAAGAGAGTTCAGTCAAGGACACAATTCGACAGGGAGTGAAGGGAGGGGAGGGGAGGGGAGGATGTGTTGGAGGGGAAAGAAAGAAACCAGACTGAGGAAATCAGAAAAGAGTGTCGGAGAGGTTTTAAAGCCACTGAAACAAAATGTACAAAAATGTACGGTTTCAAAATTCCTCTTCCAAATAAGGGAATGTATTAAAGCACAGCGTGAAGGCTGGTGGTACCAGAGCGCTGACAGGAAGGGACCCCATGCTCATTACATGTCCTCACAGGGAAACTTGCTATATTAGAGCAAATATTGTACATCTGCAGCTTGTGTGTATGCGTGTGCGTGCCAGACAGAATGAGAGAGAGAGAGAGAGAAAGAAAGCAGATGGGGGGAGTTTACTGGCTGCATATTGTGTACAGTTTGTCAACAGGCTGACTAAATAGACTCAGACATGGCCGGAGGAAATGTGTTTGCTCTGACATTCCACTGTATGGTGGAAGGGGACACGCACTGTCAACAACACTACATGACATGACAGACAGAGAAGAAGAGGGTGCAGAGAAACAACTCTCTTTCAGACATGTCTTTTGTTCTATATTTATGCAAAATAACAGCTAACTAAACCTCATACTGTTCATACATCTGTTATAATAATCTGTAACATTGTTGCTTAGTTTTTACCTATACTTAAGTTAGTAAAGGTATTTTTTATTTGCATTTAAAAAAATGTTAAGTAAAAGGCTATTATCATCCAAATGCACTTAAAGCAGAAGTAAAAAGTATTCATTATGCAGCATTACTGATCCATTAATATGCAAGCAGCATTTTAATGTAGCTTGTTAAGAGCTAATTCTAACAACATTTATATATTATATTTAATATTATATACTTTACATACTGTTGAGTTGTATAATCTATGTATGGTGTTCTATAAACTAATCATAGTTTTATATAAAATGTTAATATCCTAAGTAGGTCTAGAAGTAATAAAAATAAAATGTAGGCTACTTGTATTCAAGTAAAGCAGTTAACCTATAACAGCTGGTTACCTCACAACAGTACTGAAGGTACAGTAGCCTACTTGAGTAAAATAACTTAATCATAAGTATGAACTGCACTCAGTTTTTGATTCATCATTAAGGTTGAAAATGGTCAACGCATATCATTACTAATTCAAATATTGGAGATAATATTTAAATAATTAATATTAGTGATATTATACCCACCGCTCATACTGGTCAGAGCTGCTACTGGGTCGCTTAGCAACAACTTCTCACATAGTTTGGCGGAAAATTACCAATAATCGATCATCTTTAGCGTCAACTATAAAAACCATTAGCTTAACTGTATTCTCTTTATATTAGCCTGGCAGTTTTATAAGTCAACCACTTTGCTTAACATGTTTGCTCAATATGTAACAGACTAGAAGGGATTTTTAACCAATATTTGGGTTATTTATAAACTGTATGGGCTAAATAAAACGGCAGTCACTGTGCCAACAAGGCCACCGTTGACCGAGGAATGCGCATCGTCATCACAACTTTCCCCTGGGGGTAAGGAGAAGAAGAAAGAGGAGGTCGGGGAAGGAAGAGGAGGAGGTTCTCAGCTGGGACTTTCCTCGCTGCCCTCCAGAAAAAAAAAAAGTTAAATCACAGGGCACCGCGCCGGAGATGTTCCCGGGTGCCGGCACGGAGGAGGAGGTATGCGGACCTGTGCTCGGTGGTGGGGCCGCGGTGGTTCCCCCCTCCGCTCCTCGGGAATACTTCTTCTTTTAGTCCCTCCGTTCCTCCTCGCGCTCCAGCTCCTTGTCGTCGGGCCACTGTTACCTCGAGCCAGCAGGGTGGGGGAGGGCGCGGTTGCCTTTTCCGTTATCAGCATCGAACCGGAGAGGAACTCACGCCAACGGGGATCCCCTTCCCGGCGACCGGGTCTGGAGCAGGAGGTAGAGGAGGAGGAGGAGGAGGTAGAGGTGGAATATGGGGAAAGGAGGGAGGGGGCACGAGTCTATGAGGATGAGAACGAGATGCACGCGCGCCAGGTACTAAAACACCAGTTAAAGTTTAATTGCTTTTGAATGTTTAAGTTATAACTAGACAACTGACTTTTTTTTTTGGGGGGGGTTCCTCTTCCCCTATAGTAATGAATATTATGTGAAAGAAAACAATATTGCTTTCCTTAACGCCAATTAAACATAATTTGAAATGTGCTGAATTTGACCTGAGAGTGAGACATATGAAGGGATAATGACATTCAGTATACTGTACTTGCTCAGTTGTGCTTTCCTCGTCCTGTTTATTCATTATATGCTGGGTCAGTTTGCGCACAGCTCTGTGAATTATTACAGACATGACGGAACAGGTGAGGGCAGGGGAGGGTTATAGCACAGCACTGACCCCCAGATCAGAGAGAGGTGACAGCTGTTCTCTCTTTCTCTCTTTGCCCTTCAGTGCTGGAGCTTCAACCTTCACCTGTGCATGTGTGTGTGGGTGCCTCTGTTCTCTCTTTACCTCAACCTCCTTCCCCTCACTCCTCACCCCCCTCTCTTTCATTCTCTTTTTCTCTCACTGTCTCTTTTTCTGCCCAAGGCTAAACTCTCTGACTCATTCTAGTGAATCACCACCACCAACCCCCCCCCCAGGTTGTCATGGTGACCACAGGGTTCAGTCTGAGTTGGGTGGGGGCTTTGTGTTTGTATGTTACAGTGCCTAAGGCAAATCAGGACTGAGGTCAGAGCCTGTGACCTGCCTCCTCATCATTCATACCTGGGGCAGGGAGTGCACACACTCCCACACATTGCTGTCATTCCTATGCATTATTCAGACCTTTGGTAAATTCCCATGAAACTGTTGGTATTCCTTGCACTGTAGTATCAATATATTGATATGTATGTCTGCCCGTTCCCAGTTGGGACCCAGAACACTGGCGCTGCAGCGGTGGGCGGCAGACAAGCCGTCCTTCATGGCAGAACTCAATCGTATCATCACGTATATCACCAAGCCACAGGTAGGACACACAGATCATCACCTACAGTAGTGCAGTCAAATAAAACATCTTACCTCCAAAGAGTTGTCATTCACTTAACTGAAAAAAATAACTCATCAGTACTCAGTGTTTGAAGAGGTGTGAAAATGTGTGTGAAATGTCTGAATCCCCTAATATCATAAACATTACCTGATACAATTTGGACATTTCTAATTTGTGTTTACTGTAAATGGCACATTGAACAGTGTGAAACGGATACAATCTGTTTTGTACTGAACTTTACAGACTGCGAAAGAATAATACAGATAAGCAGAGAGAAATGACAGGGTGAACAATTATAAACCCTCAGATACAATACAATGTAAAGTTATATAAAAGAGTTAGGTAAACTATATAACACATATATAGTTACACATATAGTCTAATGCAGTGGTGCCCAATCTTTAATAAATATGATGTCTGTTTGACTGTTTTAACAGGTTGCAACTGAGGAATTTAACAAAATGTCCCTTTTCAGATTAAAAAGTTTTTATATGCTGGAAAACATAATAACTGTCTTCTTCTTTTCTGTCTTTGTGATTATCTTGGGACCCCTTGAAGAGGGTCCCCACCCTCAGGTTTGGATTCTCTAATATTTTGGGCCCTCCCTAAAGGTCTCAAGCTACACGCTGGCCCATAAAGGACCTAAAGATACTGTAGCCAGGAGTTAGATTTTGCCAAACCTGAAGAGTAATCAATAAAAACTTTACTTTTTCAACTACTTCACTTTCTACAACTGCAGACTTCCAGTGTCAGTATCCAGAGCTGTCAGTATCCTGGCAGCAAAGTTCTGCTGGAGCTAGTGAGGACTTTGAGTTCCAGACTGGAAACTCCCATATAAGAGTTAAGACTTGTGTAGCACCAAGTGCTGGGGAACTGGGAGGAAAATTGTTAAAAGTATATTATGAAGTGTTGATTTTATTCTGTAATTATTTAATACCTCAAGTTAAGTGATTATCATCAACAGAATATCACATTTAAGAGCCAGTGTTACCGGAAGATAATTTGTTTTACCTCAAAGTCTACATCAGTCACACTGTCTGAAATTTTCTCACACATTTCACAAGACAAGCTTTCACACAACTTCTTCTTTAACTTCCTCTCTTCTTAGCTAATGCTAATTCTGTGTTAGACTGTTCTCAGACCTCTACCCAACACATCTCCTCTCCCGTCCATCCCCAGCTAAACTGCTCCAGGGTTTTGTCTCCAGGTCAAGCTCAGGCCACACAGCCCCCTGCAGATTCACCCCACTGGCTCCTGTGTGCTGAGGACTGGCTCCTTCCACTTGAAGATCGACCGTGTGTTGCATACTCCTTTAGGTGTGCCCACATGTCTGTATACTATGTGCATGTGTCTGTGCATGTGCTGTGATGCTTATGCATTCATATCACTGGCACAGTTGGAATAAACAATGCAATGCATATTTAATCATGCATGCAATAATCTTCAAACCACCTCTGTGCTCCCCTGCCTCTCTGTCTATCTGTGTGTTTGCCTTTGTCTCTCTAGTATGGATGGGGGAGATGCAGAGTTTCTAAAGACTGTGTCACTGCTGGGATGCGAAGTCCACAGTTTTGATCCCAGCAACTCCAATGCATCTGGTGGTCACCTTGGCAACAGTTTGGCTAGTAACCATGGTGATGGAGGCGTGGTCAGCCAGCACAAGATGTGGCTGGAGTGGCGAGTTCCAAGGAAGCGCAAGAACAAGACGAGAGGCAACCTGGGTAGTGTTTCTCAAACACTGGCAGACGTCATGGCAGCTCTGGGACATCACACAGTAAGACACACACACACACACACACACACACACACACACACACACACACCGAAATTTGGAGAAACAGTGCCAAACAAACATACCTTAGAGTCTTTTCGACCCAACATACCCAGAAAGCTCCCTTACTTGTACGTTCCCATAGCAACAGGGCTCTGCGCCATCCCTGGCTGCCATGGCAACAATTTAAGTGAGTGAATCACACACTGGCCCAGTTACATCCTGCAGCCACAAGAGGGAACTACGTACCTACAGTTTGAGTATGTATGGGTTTACGTTATAAGAAGGGGTCTAAGACATCCTTTTATAAATATTCAATCATAATGATTGGCTATATTGATTAAGTGATTACAAAGCAACACGTTTGCTATGGAAAACAGTAAGGCTGCACAACATGAGCAAATCATAGTACTTCAAATAGTACGTTCTCTGCTTAGGAGATTTTAAAGGTACTTTGTTAAACACTTCCTTTTTCTCTTTAGGTCCACTTCCTGTATGCTGACCTGCTCAGTGCTGAGTGGCGAGTTTTCCAGAACTGGATTGAGTCGGGAACTCTGCAGAGTGTCCATCACCTGGTTGCCACAGTGCACCTACAATGGGCAGGGTTTGAGGTGGGCGGAACCAATGAAGAAGTGCTCCGCTATTGGTTCAGTGTCCTACAAGGTCTCCAAGCCTCTGGACTCAAGCTAGTCCACAGCTCTGCAGGAGAGGGTCACAGTGTCCTAAAACAGACAGTGGCAAATGCTCACAGCTCCTACACACTCAGCTGGGTCAACACAAGATACTGACACACACACACACACATAAATGGACACAGGTGTACACACATGACCAGGCATTGTGGATGGCCTTAAACAAGAAGGAGAAGGTCAACCTTGAAATAGTTGGTCGAGTTACCCTTCTCTTACAATGGACTTTTTCTCCCCCTGCAATTTCAGGCACACGCAGTTTTTAACATGATGTCTCCCTCTAGTGGAGATGAAAGGATCTGCCTTTTCATGACTCCACCCTCAGAGGGAAATACCGCTGTGTCTGTACTGATACTTACTAATTTGACCAAATATGGAACAGAAGGAGGGCTTGCTGATTTAACTGGACAACAGCACAGTAATATCATAATTAGATCAACAGATTTTATTACTTAGAGCATAAAAAACAGCAGATATATGTCAGCTGTAGCCACTGCTGGATTGTGTCCTAATGAGTCCTAAATACTAAACAGCTGTCTGGCAGGTACCAACACGTTTTTATTTATTTTCCTCCTTTTTTTAGTTGAACTACAGACCTGAGATTTTATCAATATTTTACCATATTATTAGACCACAGAGTGCGACCCCTTTCTTAAATCATTGATGTGATCCAGGTGTAGTTTGAACATACAGTACATTAAGCAGATTATGCAGATGCAGCAGATTATTTAATGCATTTTTGTACATCTCTGCAGGCCTTGAAATGCTTTTATGTGCAATAATTCTTTACAATGAAGATATGGTTAAATTATATTGAAATTATACTGATGCATTTTTTTTACTCTAATGTGTACTGTATAACAAAGAATAAATCAATTGAAACATGTCATAAATGTGCATTATTACCATAATAAAATACAAACTAGAAATCCTTGACTGCTGTATGTCTGTATTTCTGTTCTTATTCTTTTTGTTTATATACATTAACATTGACATTTGTGGCATTTGGCAGACACATTGCTCTACACTTTCTTTGATATGTTAATAATTTAAAAAGACTGTTAGATTAATGTTGAATGAAATCAGGTAGATGAGCTTATTAATTGTCCCCTTTCCTCTGTATCCACATACAAACCAAGCCAGATCATCTTTTAATATAGTAGGCTAGCATACAGTCAAAACTCACTACTTCATATAGTTTATTCACTTTAACATTTCAAAATATTATATGTTTTTGCAGTCGTGTGTGTGAATGCTTTTCTTAAATGTGAAACTGTATCATGTCCGTGCGTCTGTCTATGCTTAAACTATATTTTTTGTGCACAGGTCTCAATTGAAAAAGAGATCCCAATCACACTACCTGTTTAAATAAATGATTAAATAAATGTAATGTGTCTTATAGAAGAAGAAATGGACATACATGAAAAGGGGGTTGTGTAGAAGCTGCAAGTATTGTGAATTCATGTGATACCTAAGCTGATGTAAGTGTATGTATGTATGTATTTCCAATAAATTATAGGTGTAGAAATTCATTCCCAGTGCTTGTGTTTTCCTTTCAACATATTTGCACTTAATCCACAAAGCAAAAATACTGGCTATTAAGTGGCTGCAGCAGTGTCTTAACTGTTTAATGCAACACAAATAAGCCTAAGATGTAGGCACTACACCGCAAGACACGAGTATAATTGCCATCTTATTGCCTCAATTGTACCATTTACCACAGATTCCTTCACTTGGATAAATGATTTAACCTTTACTGGAGAACTCTCCTCCCATAAACCGTGTGTACTTCCAGGTTGCACGGGCTGAGCTGAGGTTAAGGATGCACTTAACACTCACCCGGTGAGGCTCGCAGGACGCTTATTTATCTCCATAAGTGCTTTTTCTGCTCAGCGAGCTCTTACTCCTAAAGGCCAATGCCAGTCATTCCTCGGACGCGTTCCAACTCGCTTGAGCGCACGTTTGGAATGTGCTCCTGCCTCCACCCTCCGTTACGCAAATTACGCAGAGATGTTTGCCACTAGTCAGGGTGGAGTTGCGCTTTTTACGTTGACATTTCCACATCCTGTTCTTAGCAAAAACAGGCGACAGGCGCGGTGGCCAACCAGCTTTGAGGAACTCAGTCACTCGACCAATCACAAGTTCACAATCCCGGGACTGTCGCGATCTGTTTAGCTCGTCCGTGTACTGTACCGTTCAACATTTCTTGTGGAAATCTTGAGACAAGACAACAACCGGGCTATAGAGAGGGCCTACAGTTGCCAGTTTTGACGGTAAGAACAATATGATTGAACAGAACTGTTTTTATAAAGTGAAGGACATAAGAAACATACTTTAGTTTGGCTGTTCCTTCGAGATAAGTGGCGCCTACAAGTTACTTCCTGCTCTGACAAGGCCGAGATCCCAAGTTACATTTGAGCCCTTTTTTAGCGAATTTTGTGGGCGTTAAAGTGTAATTTTTCCCGATTGTTTTGTTCTCTTCTTGTTACATATTTAGGAGAAACTTAAGAGTGCATCCAATATATTCAGCTTATTGGTAAAAAGCTTTATAATTTCAGTTTTGTAGGTAGTGCCGAACACAGCAGTAACCACACAGTGCGGGGCTGTATGGATACAGCTGTAACAAGCCCCCACTGTTCGTGAAGCAATGGATAAACCCGACAGACTACTACTACTTACAGTATGCTCAGTTTGAAAACACGCCTTAACAATAATGTGTCTGTCAACCCCAAAGGAAAAGTGCAGTGACTTGAATCCACCCAGTAACATTTGTATCATGACCTCACCGCTCTCTGAAGCCCCAACCTTAACATGAAAAACTTGTAATTAGGCAACCGAGCTGGGCAATAGGAAGCAGTGCAGGGTATACTTACAGTAAAGTAAACTCTGCCTGCCTGCACTGTCTGGGGTAGTCTGCAGTCACTGCAAATCTCTGATCAGACTCCATATGGCACTGGAGAGTTGCTGCTATGTGTGGGGAGTTTACACTGTCACACACTGATTGTGATTTGTCCATCTGTGCACCACTCTTTCTCTCTTTTTATGTTGATTTTTCCGGTTTCACATCCACTTGGTGGATGCTGGATGTTTGCTGAGTGGAGCAGAACTTAAGTTTTGCTTCTGCTTTAGCTCTGTCTGGCCCACGTTTTATTTATACATGCGTGTTGGGGTGTCCCGTGATTATGTGATTTATTTAGTGTTGGATGTAACAACAAAAAGTCATAAACCAGTAAAAAAAAAAAAAAGGATTAGTGCTTGACCAAAATGGGTTTTGACACTGATGCTGATAGAGAGCAGGGCTGCCAATGGCCGATATATATTACTGATATCCAAACATATTCTATAGAATATTCTGGTATATGTTTACAGCAGGATGCGTGAGCCACCTTCCCAATTCTCAGTTTATTAGTATCACAACTGTATGTAATACAAAGTAATTCATCTGTCTTTTACTACTTTTTATGTCTGTATGTCTTTGACTCAAATGACTCACTTCCTCTTCCCTCTTTAGGGTTGGGCCCCCCTACCCACAACATCCTACCATGCCTCTGGTTACGAGGAATATAGAGCCGCGGCACGTGTGTCGCCAGACCATCCCTTCCAACATCCGCAGTGAGCTAGAATGTGTCACCAATATCAGCCTGGCCAATATCATCCGCCAGCTCGGCAGCCTCAGTGAGTGCCTGCTGTGTGTGGTTGGGTGTCATTATGTCATTAAAATATGGTGTGAATGATTAATAAGAATATGTGGCAAATGTGTACATTTATGGAAGGTATTATTTTAGATTGAGGTGAGATTTTAATGTAGGAGTGAATATGCATTGATGGTGTATGTGTTTTTTAATTGATGTTATTCATGAACTTGTGCATCTATGTAGGCAAATATGCAGAGGATGTGTTTGGGGAGCTGTTTGTCCAGGCTGGAGCTTTTGCAACCAGAGTAAATACTCTTGGAGAAAGAGTGGATCGTCTGCAGGTTAAAGTCACCCAGCTGGACCCCAAAGAAGAGGAGGGTAAGTGCTCCCACATGTTAATCGTTACTATTACTATTTATGTCAGTATCAGATTAGTTCAGTAGTTTGAATATGGATAAATATAATAATAAAATAATCTCTTCCACGCGATTAATATTCAATAATATTCTCTCTGTTATGTCTGTCTCTCAGTCTCTCTGCAGGCCATCACTACCCGTAAGGCCTTCCGTAGCAGTCTGACTCAGGACCAGCAGTTGTTCACCAGGCCGTCTTTGCCAATGCCTGTACAGGAAACCTACATAACCTGTAATCCACCCCCACCACTCAACAACCTCAGCCAGTACCGGTAGGAATAATAAAGAGAACACGTGCATGCACATGTGCAGAGATGGAAACGCGCACATGCATGTTCTATTTTTGTTCATAATTTAAACCCACCTCTCTGACTCATATACTTTCAGACCTTAACAACAACTTGGTCTCACACAGTGACTGTTTAATGAGGTTCAGTCCTTGATATTTATGATTTGTGTGATGCTAAATATCACAGAAAGTCACAAGGCTTTTAATTCTGTTGCTCAGGAGAGTTCACCTCTGCAAAATCCTTGTGATTCATCATACTGATGCAGTACTCAATGCTGTTGTTTATTAGTGTGTCAACATGTGAAAAAGAAAATTATTTTGACTCACAGATGTTTTAGTTTAGTTTTGTTGACGGTTTTTGTAATGAACACTTACCAGATTTTTGCCGGCCTAAAAACAAGCAAACCTAATGAGAAATCACAGTAACCTCAGTCATGCCAAAAAGAGCTAGATGATAATCATATGTGTCACAACCCAGCTGACATATCAGTGAGGTCTTGAATATTAACTAACTGCGAGGCGTGATATGTCATTGGAAGTATGATTCATTAGAAACCAGAAAAGTTATTTCAATGATAAGTGAGAGTATAAGCTTGTCCAATTTTATTACAAAGCCTCTCTCTGTGACCGGTTTGATTGTGAAAGCGGAATTAATGTTGACAATGACAGATCTTTAAGTAGGTAGGATGTGACTAAAGAAAATGTTTCTAAAAAAGGGAAGTTTTATGGTTTGTCAATATATTGGCACATACTGTAAGGCAGATACATATCTGTTATTTATGTCTGTGGATACAAGATAACAAAGTGTAACTGATACACAAATGTAAATACAATGTTTGTCAATGGCTCTCTGCAGGGACGATGGAAAGGAGGCCCTCAAGTTTTACACTGATCCCTCCTACTTCTTTGACCTGTGGAAGGAGAAGATGCTGCAGGACACCAAGGACATCATGAAGGAGAGACGCAAGCACAGAGTGAGACACATAAACAGGCTCATACACATTAAACAAATAACATGACAGCATGAGTTGAAACAAGTTGACAACATTGGTCACATCAAGTTAAAGCTTTTGGAGCCAAGCCTCCATGACTCCTTTTATCTGTTTCTTTTCTGAGTAGAAGGAGAAGAAAGACCACCTAAACCTACGGACACTCAATCCACGAAAAATCAAGACCAGGAAGGAAGAATGGGAACGCCGTAAGATGGGGGAGGAGTTTGTGGTGCCAAAGAATGATTTGATGTAAGTTGAGATTGAGTAAAGTGTGGTTGAACTCTCTGCAGATTGATGGAGTGTGTTTTGGTGAGTTGTGGTCATCCACAGGCTCAAGAGGTAACATGTAAAAAAATAATGACTTGACAAATACACTACTCACAAAAAGTTAGGAATATTTGGCTTTCGGATGAAATTTCAGAATGTACATAAAATGCACTATAACCTTTCCAGGTGATCTTAATTTCACCTTCTACTTAAATGCCCTACTTTCATGATATAATATCACTGTAGCATCAACTTTTTACATTTTCCATAAATGTCACCTGAAAGTGGAATATCCCTAACTTTTTGTGAGTAGTGTACATTATTTCTCTCTCTAGTTGAGACAGTAAAAGGACAGAATGGGCACTCGCTTGGTAAATTCCATTCTACCCCGTTTTATCAACCAATCTGTACACAGTGACATGGGTGGTACATCCTGTCCGTAAATGTTCTCAGGGGCTTGGGTGTAGCACTGGCTGTCATTGGCACATTGCGTTAAACAAATGTGTGAATCACATTAGGCCTTAACGTTGATTATTTTTAGATTATTGCATGTGACATATAATGAACACATGGTAAACATGTTAAAAAAATAATTGTGTCAAAATAAGTTTTTTGTCATTAAAGCAGCAAATTAGTCACATTAGTAGAATTCACTGTAGCTGTATATTATTTATTTTACAGTGTATTGTTTTTATTAAATAAACAGGAAAATAAAATATAATTACAAAAACAAAAGAATAAAAAGCACAAATATATTTCTGTAACCAAGTCAGTAGTTTCCATTACAAGGATTTTATTTATTTATTTTTTACTATGACAGTTTTGCCTCATTGTAAAGTTAAGTTAAAACCATTGTTTTGTAAATGTTTGCTGCATGTCATCCTCCCCCCTTGCCTGTCACTCTACAGCTGTCTCTGTCAATTAAATGCAATAACCCCCTCCCCCCCAAAAAAAATCTTGTAATCTTGTATGTAACTCATTCACGAGCCAGGCCTAAAAACATTAATCTCTTCTGTTAAGCTGTTAAACTGAAGGACAAGCCAGTCTTATATCTCTGTGTAAGTGACTGCACTTTGTGTTATTTTAATAGCTGTGTGAACCAGTCAACACATGCGTCATTTCACTATTTGCGTCTCCTGCTTTAAATGCATTTATGATACTTCCTCTTAAATCTTTTCATGGTAATTTCTCATAAGCAAACAGTACATGGCCCATGACTGCTAAATAGGTCTGTAGATGCTCTGTGGTTATTTATCTAAGTCATTTGCTTGTCTAGATTTCAGAGAATAGAGATGACACGCTGTATGTTGGACTGATAGTGATGTCGTTAATTTGTTTATAGGAATTCTTCTGAGGGTCTGAATGGCAGTATTGGATCTGGAGAAGGTTTCACTTCTGAAGGCCTCGAGCAGAGTACCGGCTCCTATGCTTATGAGGCCGGCTCCCCGATGTCGCCGCCTGGTACTGATGACTTCCTGCCTCCTCCACCTCCAGACATGGCGTAAGTAGCCTCTTGGTTATGGGCACACACATGCTGCCAACACACTTATCTACCAAAATATATTATAAACCTACTGTTTGAGATTAAGATCCATTTTGTCATTTAACTTCTCGAACTTCCACTCTGTCACCTGCAGGTATAATGACGGACAGTACGGAGCACCGCCCCAGAAGCGTGTCAGCATGCTTAGTCCGAACCACCCACCTCCTGCTCCCCCCATGGCCTCTTCCCTGCCCAACTCTCGCCCCAACCTCTCCCCTCCCCCTGCACCTCCTCCTCCTCCACCCTCTGGCTTTGGGGCTCCCCCACCTCCCCCTGGCTTCGACACCCCACCTTCCCCTCCTCCACTCTCTTCCTCTCCCTCCTCTTATCCCTCCCCACCTGCTCCCCCTCCTCCACCTGCTATGTCCGCTGTTTCTCCTCCTCCTCCACCGCCTCTGCCTGCAGGTGGTGGTCCACCACCTCCACCTCCTCCTCCTCCTCCCCCTGGCCCTCCTCCCTTATCCATGAACAACTCTGCTCCCCCTCCTCCCTCTGGTGGTGGCGGGGCACCCAGTTCTGCTCCCAAACCTCCGCCAGAGCCTGTTCCTGATGGTCGCAGTGACCTGCTGCAGGCCATCCGACAAGGTAACAGGAAACAGATCAACATAAAATGTATATTTGCAGTCCTCACTGCTGATTGGCTGAATAATAAATTTAAACTAGTGAAACAAGTAAAACAACATATAACATATCTAAGGTACTTATTAGTATTTTTGTTGTATGCTGCTTTAGACTCGACTACATTTCAGAGACAAATATGTAATGTTCACTCTTATGTTTATTTGACACTTGAAGTTATGAGATACTCTTCAGATTAAGATTATGAAGACCTAATGAGCGTATAAAAGCAATGCATTGTTTCATAAAAGTTAATTAAACTGTAAATTAAAATAACCGACAGTATAAATAAAAACTTGTCTACACTTCAACCAGCTACAATATGAAATTGCTGCTTACACATTGAGGCATTGGTAATGTTTTTCCAATGATATAATAATATTAAAAAGTCTGCATTATGAGTACCTCTTTTTTGGTGCCTTAAAGTTGCCCTGTGGAGTTTTCTTGTGAACAGGCAAAGTTATATTAACATTCAGTATTTGTGACCAAAACCCATTGTGTGTATCCTTCCACTAAATGACAGCTGGTGGCAGTAATGTGCAAAGAAACATTACTGCCACCAGCTGTTATTTAGTGGAATAGCGTTAAACTTCAGTATGCGTGATACAAAAACAAAGTAGGGACCCTTTAATAAAAATGTTCCTCCATAGCAGCAAAAACTCCATGGGGTATCTTAAGTACATATTGCTAATAATAATTATCTATTTTTGCCTCAAATAAAATGCTTTTTTGACATAATTTGAAGTTAATATTTCACACTATGTTTGTCTGTACAATGACCGGATGCTCCTTGTAAAGTATTATACAGATGTTGTCAGGCCCACTCACTCACTGTAACTCACTCCCTTTATAGGTTTTAACCTGCGTAAGGTGGAGGCACAGCGGGAGCAGGAGAAGAGGGATCACTTTGGCAACGATGTGGCCGCCATCCTGTCCCGTCGTATCGCCGTGGAGTGCAGCGACAGTGAGGATGACTCTTCAGAGTTTGACGATGAGGAGTGGTCTGAATGATTGTCATCCCTTTTCATCTTCACTACCACCTCCGTATCTTTCCTCAGCTGTAAACAACATCAGCGTATTTCCATTCAGATCACATTCTTAAGTACTTGTAAAGCTGGGGTCCATGTTCTGTGTATCTGTTAGATTTTGAGTGTGTGCGCACATAGTATGTACATTCCTCGACCCATTTATTTCTATTTATCCAAAATGATTTAGAACAGAGGTGCAAAAGTCCAAAGATTGAGCGAAAGAGTGTGATGTGTCTGTGCCAATTTTCCATTGCTTGTGTGATCTGATGCACATCTCTCTGCTGAATCTGTACATAAACGCATCACCTCTGACTTTATCTTAGTGTCTATTAGAATAAGATGTCCTTTGCCGCCGGCCAAATGTCAGATTTTACCTGCTTTGGTTTATTATGGCAAAGGGTAATAGAGAAGGAGTACACACACAAGCATGCAACCTCTTCCATACACAGTATTTCTATGTACTCAGTGGAAAGACATCAAAACATTCTCGCTCATTCATAGATTATATGATATAGATGTATAGTTTATATTACATATTGAATCATATCTACTAAAGATAATGAATGCAATCCCTTGATGTACCTTGAAGCCCACTCTTTATCACTTTTCCTTTCCTCACTTTTGTACTCAGTCTAATTTTTTTTCTTCTGTGGTTGTCATGGGAGCAATTGACTTGTAGATGAGATGTGGTTGTAGATTATAAACAAATTCATGAATGAATTATTCAGCGCGATAGGGGAAGTATTGGCTCATGCCAGACACCTGGGGTGATAGATGAGATCACCATACTGAACATATGCAGACATTTAACACAATTATCATGATTCAATTTGTACCGTGTTTCAGCTCCGTTGCATTTTTCTTCCTGCAGTTTTTATTTTGACCTTTTCTGTGGATGAACTAGGCTCTATTGCTTTAATTACTGTCCCCAGGCAGCATTTTGCTTTATCCTGCTGCCTAATAAGTGCCTTTTTTTAATACTGCATTTCAGTATCAGTGCAGGTTTATCTGCAGTGGTGGTCACCGATGTCTGTCGCTTCTTCCAAAAAAATATCAACAGCAGCCATTGATGACTCAAATATAGAACTGACTGATGTTTTAGTGTGGACCACATATTTTTCAAGTGCCTTTTATTTTATTTTATTTTTGTGTTTGAAGCACAATCACACAGCATGCTTAGCCAAAGTTCTGCTTCTCCTGCCTTACATTTTCCAAATGATTATAGTTATTTCAATAAAGATAGAGTGAATTACAGTGATTGTTTGGATGTCTTTTCTGTGAGAATGAATAGTGTGTATGCTGTGATGTGTTAAATAACAAGTCTCCAAGAATGTCAAGCCTTGGCATAAGACTCCTCATGCTTTATCCGTGACTCATCCTCTTTATGTCAGTGCTGGGGAATTTTTCACAGTGCCCGCCCGGTGCTGACTGTGTAGGGAGTGTGAAAATGAGTCGACTGGATGAAAGTTCTAAAAATGAGTAGGAGGAGAGAAAAACCTCTTACATAATGACTATATCCTCATACCAAGGCTGCTTTGTAGGTTTTAAAGGATGCAGTAGGTGAAGAGTGATGGTAATAAAAGTGAATATTGCTTTATCCACCAAATAATTCAGGATACAGGAATAGCGAGCAGCAGTGTGCCTGATTGAGTTAAGGAGAGAGAGATAGAAAGAGAGAGAGAGAGACAAACGGACTAAAAGCCTCGGCAGCAGTAAAGAGAAGAGTGCTGACATCACCAAGTAGAAAAAAAGCATATTTATTATTCATCAGTATAAAATATTCATTCATTTCAAAAAGGCTGTGCAACATGAACATATGGTCAGTACCTTTCAAAGTGCCTGTAACAGCATGTGCAAAATAGAATCTCAAAAATCTAGAACATTGTGTTTTCTTGTTATTCAAGTAAATAAAAACTGGACTTTGGATCACACATGTCATTACACTGTGATATGCTTACATTTAAAATCTGTCCCTCCCTCTCGTCTTAAAGTGCCGACGTTCATTAAATCCACTTTTTATGACTGGGGATATATATAGCATCCCTGTGATTGTGTCAGTCTGGGGATCCAGTGGATCTACAATTGACAGGATGAGGCACAAAGTACATACAAGACAGCATGTTTAGTCTTTTGTCCCAAGATGGCTGCCAGCCAGGACAGTTCAGGACATTCTGATTCGCAGAAGGACTTCATCTCTCTGCTGCTTGCGTGTGTGGGAGTATGTGTGTGTGAGAGAGACTTAATGTTCTTGATTTGGATGACAGTCAATGCAGCTATGTGTGTATTTTGGCACACAAACAGTGATATGTCTGGCATAGATTGTGTGGTCGTTTGAGTCTGGCAAAGTTTGGCAGTCTACACATCAACAGGGTAGTGTACTTGTGTGTTTTGTGTGTATTTGTGTGGGCAGCAGGCCTGGAGCAGCACTTTACGAATGTCTTTGTTTCTTAGACTGTAGAGTATTGGGTTCAGCAACGAGCTGCCCGCTGCTGGCACCAAGGTGGCATAGGTGTACAGAGGAGGGCTGGACGCATCTCCCAGCAGCCCCCAGAGGGAGAAAGGCATCCAGCAGCCCACAAACACACTGAGCACCAGGATCAACCGAGAGAAGCCTCTCCCACTGCTGTGTTTGCTTGCATATGATTGGTTGGCAGGGAGAAAGTGCCTCTGGGTGGCGATGGCGTGGGCATGCCGCCTTGCCACACGGCAGATCCCAGCGTACAATTGCAGGGTTACCATGACAACCACCAGGAAGCCACCACACAGCAGTGATAGGTATGTCCGGGTCAGAGGTCGGGCTACAGAACAGGAGTTTGGCTCTCCCAGACAGTGCCATCCCATTGCAGGCCCAGCCCCGATGATACATGCACCCAACCAGACCAGGAGCAGGAGGATGGCGGCTCTGTGACGTGATTGGCTTGAACCATAGGTGAGGGCGTGGCTTAAAGACAGGTATCGGTCCAAGGCAACACCCATCAGGCTACAAAGTGAGGCAGTCAGTGATGTCACCAGCAGTCCTGAGGTCAGCAATTCTGACCAATCACTGGGCTCCACACAGAACAGGAAGAGGAAGTGCAGCACCAGAGCAACACCTGCCAGGAGGTCAGCAAGTCCAAGGCTAGCCAGCAGCAGGAAAACAGGGGCGCGAAGAGACGGAGTGGCCAAAATGGTGGTGACAACTATTGCATTTTCAGTGGCAATGAGAGTTCCTGAAACACACAGTGCCACACCCCACACCGTGAGGGGCGGGACTTCATATGGAGGTGAGCTACCTAACTGGTCCAGAGGGAAGAAGGGGTCTGCACCTGAGGACTCTTCCCAGCCCAGGTCAGTGGCGTTCAGGATCATGGCTTATCAGCAGTCACAGAAAAACAACCTAAGACAGAGGAAAAAGGAAGAAAGACATGTTGGCATTAGCTTTAATGGGTCATTAGCATCTGTCCATTAAACAGCCTTTTGCTTAACCAGAAGTTGTGGTTTCAGCCTGTGGAGCTGCTGCAGGCCGGATGTAGCAGGAGTAGACTTAATGTGGTAATGGAGAACTTAAGATGTTACACTCTTGTAATCTAAAGCAGTTGAGCTATATAAAATTAGATTATCACTGTGAATGCATTAAGTGGTATTAGTGATCTCCCTGCACTCTCTTGCTCCTTTAATTTGTAATGATATGTTGTCCTGTATTGTTTATTATTTCATATAATATATATAATTATTATTTTTAATTATAAAAAATAGATGTATTTAGTTGGTTAGCAAGTATTGGGACAGATACATAAGCATATAGTAGTGGCTGATTAGGCTGTATATACACCCTAATTTAAACCCATCTTGTCCGTGGATGAGCTTTAATTTAGATAAAAACCCTTACAGTGCAATAAAAAACAAGAAATAAAAAATTACATTTTAGGCTATAAAATACTTGAAACTGAATTGAACCTCTCAGATAATCGAATTTTTCATCTCATGAATAAGTTCACATTTCTTAGATTACCACAAATCATTTTATATAATAGTCCTGCTGAAATGTCAGTGACGTCACCGTATGTAGTTTTGTGGCAAATCACAGTTAATCGATCCATATTTTAGGCTTAATGCAACGCAATAGATATACCAAAACATGAACGCATCATTAGGCTATCATTGATTAAAGTATCACAAATATAGTTTTTTAGGACGTCACTCTGAATCCGGACTTTTCCACCCAATTAGTTTTATCTTGTCACAGGTTTCAGGAGCATCCAAACACCTTTCATATCATTAATGCTGAGGCTGCTATATCTGTAAACTCACTTACAGATTAAGTTTGTGATCTCCAGTCTGAGGTTTCCCTCTTGTTACTGTCCAAACATGATGTCCGTCTACAGGAACACACTGTGTATACCTGGGACAGATTGTACGTGTACCATGCAGCGCCTCATATCTCCAATGAGAAAGCCTGTGCTGGTAATTAGGCAACAATTAGGCTATTTAAAGAATTCGCCTGTTCAGATGCTTGTGCTCTCCGGTATGTGATCTGCTTGTTCTTTTTAGTACATGTCAAAATGTACTGCTTGCCTACTCTAAGGGAATACCACATCGCAAATGTTATATATTAATGTTATTTTAGGAATATTTTTCTTTTTTTTAGGAGTCTTTCATCCTCATCCCTCTCACGTCTCATTGTGAGGAGGTATATCCCAGCTCCTGTTGCGGAGGTCCCTGTTGTATAATACAACTGCAGGTTCAATGCACCGCAGAGGATGTCCCCAACACACGCACGCACACATTCACGCATATACAGACTGGTATACATGTATAATATGGAGTATTCATCTTACCTTATTAACACGATTCCGTGATTCTTTTACAAGAGTTAAACAGATCTACTCTCTCCTCTTGTAAGATCCAAATGATGGAGATGGGGAGGATGCTGTCGGCAGTGATGCTCGGCACCAGTTTAAATAAGGAGGACAATCCCTGTGTATGCTACCGTGCTCCCTCCTGTCTTCATCAAAGTTGCGCCCAACTCTCACTTGCCGTCGCTTGCATCCCTTCTTCTTCTTCAATCTCGTCTGAGCGCTTATGGGAGGCAGAATGGATGCTCTGGCGCGCGGATCATCCACAAGAGAGCCAGCCTGACGTCAGTGACTGGGAGGCTCGACCAATGAGGTGCCGACATTTAGGATGCGGAGAGAGTAGGGAGGGGGTGTGTATGGAGTAATTTCATTCAGAAAAATGCGGCATCTCTGTCGTCCCTCCCACTGCGGTTCACTCTTGTTCTCATTTCTGGTAAATAATGACCACCAATAGCACACACACACACACACACACACACACACACACACACACACACACACACACACACACTTTCTCAATAAGACCCAGGAGACTTCCTTGAATGAGAGGATATTGTTTTGAGTTGGGCAGGGCTCAGAGGTATCGAGCTGTGGGGACAGAGCTCAGGGCTGCCGCTGTCCACGGTGCTGAAACGCATCAGGATGACTCATGGGGAGATGTCCGGCAGCGCACCAGTTATCTGTGGGAAACAGACACTACCGTCCAGTCTGGCTCAAAATGTGACTTAATTGCCCCTTGCCATACCCAAAACCCTGCTACAACTTATATCTTTTATATAATTATTCATTATAAGTGATACTATTGGTACTGGTCTATGTAGTGTGTATTTGAATTGTACGTTATGAGGTTCACACATGTCATCTAATAAACCTGAAATCATTTATAAATCTTACAGACATGTATGCAAAAAATACAGACAAGAGGATGTGTGTTATGGTGTGCATGGGGAGGGGGTTTCCTGTAATCAAACTAAAGCAGAAATGGCCTTTATTTAGCTTGTTATCTAATGTATTGATTTGTCTTTTGATTTAAACCGGCCCCTGACTCCTCTGACTCCCACAGAATCATAACAGCAGCAGGGAATTCGTGGCTTCCCCGGTTTGATAGTGTACGTGGGTGCTGCAGTTGTCTACGTGGTCGCGCATATTAATGCGCTAACGGTGGTGGGTGGGTGGGTTGGTGAGGGGATCTCGTCCTGCTCGAGCCATATTAGGACACACTTCCTACTGATAAACCCCTCCTACGTTGCTTAGAGGGTCTGAAGAGCAACACTTGTCCCCTTCAGAATAACAGCTGTTTTTCTTACCTGAAGACCTAATTTTCTCCATGTCCTATATTTTTCATGACACATTTAATAATACTACTACAAACACATTATATATGAATCACATGTAATAATTTAAGAAGGTTAGCTTTTACAAATCTGTACAATGTATCCAGGTGATTCTTCCCTTCTGAGACACTACAGACTGTACTGGATTCCCATTTTGTATCCTTGCACTAATGTCTATTATTCACTTATATGATTTATGTGTATTTGTACACATATACTAACACTAACAAGTGTAAATTGCAGCATTATCCGGTTATCTGTCACTGGTGTATCGATTTTTGCCAGCAGTGGGAGCAACAGTGGAGGAGGAAATCGTGTCCGACAGGACTGCAGAATATCCCTTTGTGTTTTTGTAGCACGCCGACTCACAAACCAGCCACCCTGCAGAGCTGCACAGATGTACCCAGACAATGTGTGAGAGAGCATATGAGATGTGGGAGTGCATGAGCCACGTTGGTATGAGTGGAGGAGGAGCAACACGTGGGAGGAGGTGATGGTGGAATTCACTGCATAAAGGAGAAAAGTGTGTCGTGATTCTGGTCTCAATGCACCTGATTTTGAGGGGCTTGGCCCGGTCCTGTATACTGTATGACTCAGTGCATCTACATTTCAAAGCAACACTTTGAAGGTTGAAGCACTTGTACTGTTTGTGCTGGTGCATTTGCATGTGTGTGTACAGGGGTAAAGCAGGTAGTAATGGAGCCTTGGATAGCCTGAGCTCCCTTTTACTGCTTTATTTCTGTCACCATTTCACATTGTGATCAATCAGACTTCTAAACATCAGTTTTCTCAATCAATCTCAGGCTTGTTCAGGCATTCTGTCTCGTGTCCAGATGCTGTACATTCAGCTTATGTCTTCATCCTGTAAGAATCTGTCACAAACTTGTAATTGATTAGTGATCAGATTTAACTTTTTACATTTGCTCTAATCTTATTTGTGCTTGGCTAATACATCTCGTGTAAAGTATTGCATATCAATTATCTTGCTTCATACTAAATATGGACTTTAAACTATTGTCTGAGTTGTTTGTCACAGGCGAATCAATAGTGTTTGAGAAAATTGACAAGTGACTAGGCAGCACTTCATCGCAGTCAGTGACACATTTGAGGTGATAATAGACTGCTGACGTATAGGGTGTCTCATGACCTACGTAGTTACATGTTTTCTGACCACTTCTAGTCAGTGTGTGTTCACACCTACAGTACATTTAGAGATGTGCTAATTAGATTGGATCATTCAAGAGGCATATTGTTAACTACTATTATTAACTACTGTATCCGACACATTCTTAATTAAAATGAGCACCCTGACAGTGCTGGTCAACTGCCTTAATCCAGCTTTTTCCAGAGGAAGCCTGTTGAGAAATGTTTTTTAGTTTGAGTATTCACATGAAAAACATGTGATTCTAGTTTATTTCCTAGAACAATGGTTGCCACTCTTACATGGCTTGGTGAGTTCTGATCAGTACAAAGTGATTTTTCCTTCTCAAGTTGAGAAAATCCAATGATTTGTATGTGAAATTATCAAGTATTTCACAAGAAAAAGTCAGAAAAAAATCAAATAATCTAACCCTTTTAACCAGGTAGTGGTTAAGGGTGAGAAAGTACACCACTGTATCTGTATCAGTTCAAATAAATTATCTGTATTTATATCTGTACTCCGAATAGGGCTTAAACTGGAAGTTAATACATTTAAGCCTGAAACCAATATGGGTTGAACAGAAGTTGCTTTATTTATTAGAAAACTATTACTACCATGAAATTTGGTTCAGACCTTAGAGGTGCACAGAGAATAAATTCTACTCCCCTAACTTCTCCTGCCTTCACATCAGCATTAGCTGTACTTTGTGTTTAGTGTGAATTAGCTAATGTTAGCCTGCTACCATACCAAACTGAGATAGTGTTGCATTACACCAGCTCAGCATGTTAGCATTGTCACTGTGAGCATGTTAGCATGCTGATGTTGCATTTAGCTCAGAGCAGAGCTGTGCCCAAGTACAGAGCCACTAGCATGGCTGTGGACTCTTAATCTGTCTTCTTTTCTGTCTTATTCTCTAAATTATCTTGCAACCCCTCAGATTTATCTTGGGAGCCACTGTACTATATACTATTATTATAAAATAATGAGGGCAAAAACGGTTATTTGACTGCAGATTAGTAGTTCTTAAATGACTTTGTGTTCATCCTTAATTTGTGCAGTTACTCTTCCCATTGGTCCCATTATGGTTTATGGTGTTTGTAAGGACATATATGTGAATGCAGGTGTGTGTGCAGGCAATGCCTGCTGGACTAAACAGGTGTCACTTCGTCTAAACTGGTGTGTATTTCAGGAGGGTTGAGGTGGGCCAGTTGGTTGCCAGGTAACCAAGTTTGGGTGTCGCTCATGTTACACAGATCTCTGTGTCTCTTGTCTTTCTCTCTTTCCCTCTGTGTCCTAGCCAGGAGCCGTATCTCTGTTTGCAACTATCGGATACCCTTTTGAGGACTTACCAGCAATATATTTATTGAAAACATTTTGTTGATACTAATTCTTCTCCAGGCAACAAAGTTTCCAGCAGTCAGTTGCACTTGTTGGTGCTCTGTGGCTGTCAGGATGCAGCAGCTGGCATTGAAGGTCTTCTGCTCCACACTGCTGCTTCTTGCAGTGGTGCCTTCTGTGTACTCACAATCAGGTATGGGTCCATCCTTAAGTCTTACATTGACGTTTTTTTTAAATTGTTTTTTCATCTTAGTGTATTTTGGTCAGAAACCTATTGCTGTATCTTCCTACACTTAGCATCAGATGTCTCCTTCCAGTGTCTTTCCTTGGTAGTATCTCTTCTATTATTCCCTGTGATGATGGCTGGTTCACCAGTATTTCATACAAACTGTCAAAAACCAAACATGTGAGAGGTTAATGAGAATCTGTTATCTTTTCTTTGGCATTACTCTAGAATTTTGCCTACTCACTTTTGTCTATTCTGACGCTGTCCTGACTTGTGGGAAGTCTTGTTTGAAACAAAATGTTTCTGTGGAAAGATAATTGTGAATTGGCCAATCAATTTGTTTTGAGTGACACTTCCAGTTGACTGCCAGTTTTGTCCCGCCTACAGATTGTTCTCAAGCCGAGTCATGTGACCTGTGTGTTGGAGACTCCATGCTCAACCTGACAGGCTGTGTCTGGAGGCTTTGTCCAGATGGTGACACGGCACACACACACACACACACACACACACACACACACACACACACACACACACAGACACACACGCAGACACACACACCTCTGACCTCTGATAGTAATTCAATCATCATAGCTGCTGTAACATAAGCTTCCCTGGTTTGTACAAGATGACTGAATTATTTAGTATGCCAGGAACATACACATGATACACACACACACACACACACACACAGGTACAGACACACTAAAATGCTTGTTCTTTCTGTCTCAGGTAATGACACAGGCATGTGTGTGACTGATGAGGGCGACTCAGCAGACAACGGCATGAACTGTAGCTGGACTAGAGTGTCTGAATTGTGCTCAGGTAGCAAACAATACACTCCAAAATGAACATGAGATATTTCTCTGCTGCCTCATTAACAATTATCTCTTCTGCATGTTTTATTGTAGTCGTGGAGACTGTAGCTGATGGAGGAGGTAAAGGTGACTCAGGTAAAGTGTATCATCTCTACTCCAGCATCCGCTTCCACCCCCCTCTCTTTCTCTTGCGTCAGACAGTTATTATTCCCATAAGAGCTGAGTAAAAAGTCCCCGATGCTGTACAAAATCCCAGAATTTCTCTGAAAAAACTGAAGCTCGATTATTTTCCCGTTCTGCACTCAAACTCTTCATTTTTCTTTCCCTCCAGGTGACGGAAGCAACACCAATTCATCCCCAGAGTTCTCCCAGGCCAAGTTTGACATGTCCAGTTTCATTGGAGGCATCATACTAGTGCTGTGTGTGCAGGCGGGCGGCCTCCTTGCTATGCGCTTCCTCAAAACCAAAGAGCAGAGCAACTATGACCCCATGTGAGTTTGCGCATGTAGGTGTTAGAGAACTGAGAATTTAGCGTGACCGCACCAGTTCAAGTATGTGAATGCAAATGTGTCTGTGTTACTGTGTTAAGCTATGGTCTGTTGGTGCAACAGCAGCCTCTGGTGGCAGGAGTGATCAACAGCAGTCAATATACAACAAGAGCCACCTTTAACATCCCTCTAGATTGTGTTTTGATTCTGCTCACAAACCCCATCTGTCCATATTATCAAATTCTGTCTGTCTTCACACAGAGAGCAGCCACAGTGAAGACAAGATGTGTGAAGGACAAACAGATGAGGGTGGAGGACAGCAGAGCAATGACTCATCGAGTTGTGACGACAAGAGTTTTTTTTTTTTTTTCTGAGCCCTTGTCATTTTAGGTTTGGTCCCCATGTGTACCCCTGGGGGTTGGGTGTGTTTATAAGAGGACATTTTTCTCATAATACTGCATTGTGTAACGAGTGTATGTGCATGTGTTCACTGTGTTTGTATAGTATTTATATTTCAGACATTTTGCCTGTTGGTATTCATACAATCTGACAAATGAGGAACAAAAAGCCTCAGATGTTCTCAGCACTTTTAGCGATTTATCATTGAGATCAAACCCACCATAAAAATTCACAAGTACTTAAATAACATGCAACTAGCTGTATCAATGTTTCAACTGTGTAAATAGTACAGTGCAACTGTGGGAAAGGGTGATATAATGCCATGTAGACAGTAGGTCAGACAAGGTCATGACAGGCATTTTAAAGTTTTTTTCAAGAACCCTAAAATAGACCAAAATGAGACCCTAGACATCAACTTCGTAAGATATTTTTTCATCTAAGAATACTTCTGTCTTTCATGTGGAGTTGAGTTACTTTCTAGTGTTTGATTGAGACCAAAAATTTCAATACTTATGTATGTTATATATTTATATCATTTGTCAACTTGCAGTGAGTTAAATAATTTAGCTGGGGGCACTAAGGGGCCATCTCAACATTTCCTGGGACTACTTAACAATATAAGATCTGAGGCCCAATAGTAGCAGACCTTTGAATGTCATCCAGTATGGCTTTCTGATTTGTGTGTGTGTTTTGTTTTGACTTGTCTTTTTTTATAAATTCATTTTCTGTTTTGGCTGCTCATTACATACATATCAGCTTTAACCCTTTAATAACAGTTCAAAGAGATGTGATGTGACCCTGTTTACTCGTGCTAATGCTGGTTAAGTTCATCAATATGAATGTGTTTGATTTTTTTGTGATGCCATTACAATGAAACATGCTTAAAAAAGGCTGGCAGCCTGAATAAACTAAGGATAAACACCTCTCTGTGTGTGTAACTTGTGTGTGTGTGTGTGTGTGTGTGTGTGTCAGGTCTGCTTTTATGCATGCAAATGGGGAGTTGGTTACAGCTAATCACAGTAAGACCTTGTACAGTACGTTTTGAGTGCATACAGTATTTGCCCATACCAGCAGAGTGAGTAAACGGTTTCTGCTGTAACCTGGGTGCGACCAGAAACATGCTCCCAGTATCTGCAGATAACAATTGCCTATTAATCCTTACATGTCTAGGTGTCAGTAGGGATTCCCAGCATGCAGCAGGGGCAGATTGTGGGTAGAGGCCTTTAGGGGAGCAGCAGGATTGTTGGTTGGATGCACCAGCCGCTGTCTGAACCAGGACCTACAGGCTTGAATAAGCCCACACAAAAAAAAGCTCCCCAACAGGGCAGACTGTGGCTGTCATCCAAGTCTGTTGACAAAGGACAGGACTGAATACAGGTCTTTTTCACTCTCAATCCACCACCCTCCCCCAACACACACAAAAACACACTTCCAATTAGAGAAAGGGACATCTAGCACACACATATTACCACAGATTACCACAAGTCCACAATAAAAAGTTGAGGCAGGCTTCTCTGTATGTGTGTGTGTGTGTGTGTGTGTGTGTGTGTGTGCAAGCGCAGAAGAGTAGGTGCACCCTCATTAGGTGGCCAACTGTGTGTTTAGCAGGTGTGGACAACTACAAGAAGGAAAGTTATATCCCACCTCCACCCTGCCATTGGCGAAACATCCGTGTGTGTGTGTGTGTGTGTGTGTGTGTGTGTGTGTGTACACACACACACACACACACTCCCTCCCTCTCTGTGTGTTTTCTGTTTGTTCCGCCTCATGCTCTGCTCCCAGCTGACCGCAGCCCCTGTGCGGGTTAACTCGGGAGGGCGTGTTCACTGCTCTGCACACATACCTCGACACACACACACACACACACACACACACACACACACACACACACACACACACGGAACTCGGGAAAAACTTTTTACTCAACTTTTCACAGATGGAACAGGCGGAAGCTGTCAAGTAAGGTAAGACAGCTTTGGCTTTTATGTTTCGTCTGTGTTTGTGTTTGTGTTTTTATGAATTTGGGAGGGGAGTTCAACCTTTTTGATCTAGAAGGGGAAAAAGTGGCGACAGGTGTCCTCTCTCTCGCGGTGTTCGTGATGAGGGAAGTGCGGTTTACTCTCAAGGGAAAACTTCATAGAAATGATCAAGATCAGACACTTCAATAATGTTTCAGAATATAGCACTTAATATGAAAAAAAAGAACAGCAACTGTTTTATTAATTTAGTATATCACTGGAAACGTTACTACAGGAATAGAAGTAGTATTATTATCACTCTATATCATCTACTACACGCTACAACATTATTCTTTTTGTGTTGTTATGTGACAGCTTTATGAAAGCTGCGGTGCTCTCGTTGCGATATCCTGTTTGCCAAACTCCTAAACGCCTGGACAGGAGACTCCCTCTGCGCACGCGTTAATAACTCAAAGGTAAGCAGCCTCAAGCACACACACACACACACACACACACACACACACACACACACACACACACAAAGTTTACCTTCCTCCTTCTTTAAACATCACTCTCCTTATTGTCCAACAGGTAATGGCAGCCTAAATATGATTATTAACATTTATTTTCAAGCCTTTTGTAGTTTCAGTAGTTTAAAGAGTCTACAGTAGAGAGAGCATTTGGAGCAGGAGGGGATGAAAGCCATGGAGGCAGACAGGAATAGTCTACCTGACACAGCATGTGTCTTCACCCACTGGAGGACACATGATTTCAAAGTGTGTTGAATGGTTCCCAACCGGGAGATCAGAAAAAAAGACAAACCAAAGGGATGGAAGATAATGTACAGGATTAGATAGAGGGAGAAAAACATACATCCGCTATACAAAATGATGTATTTAGATTTTGTGAGGAACTGGACACTTTTACCTCTTCACCTTCAAGAATTATTCAAATGAAACAATCTGAGAAGGAAAAATCTACTTAAAACTTATTGACATATGCAACATGTGACGGCAAGTCGATTAGTTGCTTCACTTAAAGGGGTCATAGGGCAAAAAGGTTGGGAAGCATTAGTTTAGCAAGAACAACAAAGGCAGTCTTACACTAGACATAGTTTGGGTTTCAACACTTTTTAAATATAATAAATAGCATGTTTAATTCATTAATTAAACTTGAATAGGTGCTGCCTGCTGTTTGTAAGGATTGTGGTTTTGCTTCTCACTCAGAGATGGCGGAGGAGAAGGTTGACTCTGTCCTTGACTTGAGCCACCTGACAGAAGAGGAGCAGACCACCATCCTGCAAGTCTTAGATCGTGACTCGGAGTTGCGTCGTCTTGATGAAGGACGTGTAAGGTCAGAGGTGACTGTTAGGTGCCAGTTTTGTCCAGTGATTAACACAAACAGAAAGACGGGTGACAGATTAAAGGAGTAGAGTAGCAATGGATAGATGATAATGCAGCACATTTATTCAGGGTTTTCCTTTAATTCATCTCCTGTCTGTATGTTGTAGTTTAAGGTTAAGGAAAAACACTTCTTGGACAAAAAGTGCAGTGCAGATTTGCTGTGTGACAATTTGAAATGTGGTAATATGAAACATGTAACCTTAATATCAGCCAAAATAATTAAGGTTTTAATACAAGGACCCTCCTCAAGATGAGACAGGGGCCTTAAATTTAGGTAGTAAAGTGATAACCAGCTTAAAGCCCTTATCATGTCACTTGATATTGTTCTTAAATAGTGCATGTTTCCAAGCAAAGTTAGCCAAATGACCACACATCAATTGCCTGGTTGGTAATTCAACCTTGCCTTAATAAGTGAGTCCCATAGAACCTCTGATTTAGTTAATAAGGCCCAGTAGTCAACCTGTTGTCCCCTGTTTGAGATGTTTGTGTCGATTCATCTTTATTTATTTATTTGTTTATTTGACAGGGACATTGCACACTTTAGCTTAACTGCATCAGAGTTAGCTATGAGCTAATTTACATCTGTAGTCCCTGGGCAGAAAACAGTGAGCAACATCTCTGTCAAGAAAAGTAATACTGCAAGAACATTAACACTGTAGTACGATACGTACATATAACATAAACATCAGCACCAACAACAAGATTTCACAACATTAGGACACATCAAGTGTTTGCTTTTCATGCGCAATGGGTACATGATTGGGTTGATTATAGGCTTGAGTTCATATTGATTTTAAAACCAGTGAAGCTGCAGCACTCTCTCGTAACGCTTGGTTCCAAAGTTTGTTGCTGAGAAGGCTGATCTGCCAAATCCAGTAGATCCGTGCAGTATTTCCTATTTTAGTCATCCTAGTTGTCCTCCGTTTGTCTGAGCGCAGTGATAGTATGAACTCTTTTAATGGAGGAGAAGCCAGATCATTGATCACTTTGTGCACTAAACTAGCGCCAGCAAGACACACAAAGCTGTCAAAGGTCAGGAGATTATACATCTTAATGATTTTACAATGGTGGTCACTTGATCATTTTTTGTCCAGTGTCTTGAGTGTTTGTTTGTTAAATGTTTGGAACGCTTTAAATACTCATCACAATTTTCCCAAGGTAGAGAGCAAATCCTCACATTTGAGAAGCTAAAACCAGAGAATATTTGGCATTTTTGCTTGATAATTAACATAAACAATTTATCAATCTTCAAAATTGTTACCTACTTTTTTATTGTGTAGATTGGTTAATCGATTAATCAGCTAATCATTTCAGCTCCCCAATCAGGGTGGTGCATGTATCAAAGAGAAAAGTCTCATCTGGAAACCTTAAGTTAAATGTTGTGTGTTTGATATTAGGAAAAACTGACACACATCTTTGTCTTTTATGCCCTGAACAAATTGCATGACAGAGGACAGAGCAGTGACTGTTTAGTTTGTCGGCTGACGTCAGCTGACTTTTGCTGACAGGAGGTTGTAATTGTTTGCTGTTTAACTTGGCCCTGTGTCAACGCTGCAGGATCCTCGAACAGACAGAGACAGACCCGACACGTCTGCGCTTCCTGTCAGGGGCATGGTTCAGCGAGGAGCGCAGCAAACGCCATTGCACCCGGTCGGGCATCGCCCTCGTCCACGCCACCATACGCCACAGGAAGACAAAGAGCAGAGGTCAGTTTTCAGCTCGACTGCTATTACAGGCCTGTGGGGCCGATTTATTACTGTTATAGGGATATCCCAGTGATGTTTCTGTGCTGTTGCTATGGTAACAGATGCGCCCCTGACTGGACTGTTCAATGGAGAGAGTGAAGAAAGCTCCCAAAACAACAACAACACGTCTCCTGAGGCTGAGAGAAGACTGAAGGACGGCAAAGACGAGGAGTGTGGAGGGTTAGTGAGGGCATCTAACACTGATAAATCATTTTGCTGTGTGTAGCTGCATTTTCCAATATCTTGTTTGTGTTTACAGGAGTCATGGAAGTTTCAAACCTACACCCACACTCAGAACAAAAAGTCCTGTAGCACAGGTCTGTATGTAAATGATTGTTTGTTTTTCAATGCTTGAAAAAAAAACTAAACAATCTAAATATAAATTCAATTCCAGGGTCTCCAGCACAGAAATAGTTCATCATCATTCAAAGGTATGAAAGCTACAAGTCTAGTCTGTTAATGCCTCTTTACCTCTTTAGCTGTCTCTAACTATTATTATTAACTCATCATTCTGCTTATAGAGCCCAAAAGGAGAAGCAATGGCCACATAGAGGAACTGGAGGTGATTGTAACACACACCCACATTCAGAGATGACCAATTCAAAGAACTCTGAGTCAATACATTTAATTATGTAAATGTATAACTGAATCGTATTTTGACTTTTTACATGCAGTAGTAGAGAATAATAAAGTATTAAAAGGACATGATATATAGGGAGAGTATTGATAGATGATCGTTAGTGACGCTGTTTCTGAGAATAGTGTGTGTGTGTGTGTGTGTGTGGGCATTTAGGAAGGCTTCGATGTTCTCAACTGGGATACTGACTCTCTTAGCAGCAACGTGACAGAGCCAGAACCAACCTCTCTGAAAGCCAGCAGCTCCAACGGCAGCCTTCAATCAGGCTACACGGTACAGACACACACACACACACACACACACACACACACACACACACATACACACAGACGCATACGTGCATGCACACACACGCACAGTTGATTAATTGTCCATCCAGCGACGCAAGATGACTCAGCTCTGGACGGTGACGTAGGATGATCTCTTTTCTGCGTGTGTTAAAGCTCAGTGGAAGCATGATGAGTCTGTTCAGCTCGGGGGATTTTGGAGTGGTGGAGGTAAGGGGCCGTATCCAATTCTCATTGGTTTACGACACCCAGAAGGAGGAGCTGCACGTCAAAGTGTACCGCTGCGAGGACATTGCTTCGGCACGCAAGAACCGCTCTGACCCGTAAGTGACAGTGCAAGTGAATGTGCATCTTGCAGCAACAGCGTTGCATATATAATCAGTTAAAAAATGTCTGTGTATGTGATTTTCATAGATATGTAAAAGCCTATCTCTTGCCGGACAAGTCGAGTCATAGTAAGAAGAAAACATCAGTGAAGAAGAAGACACAAAACCCAGTCTATGATCAGACCCTCCAAGTGAGACACTCTCTCATTTACATATTACATAAAGAGGCAGCCTTCACAGAAATCCCCCATCTGCCATTTGTCCCTCAGCTCTCCTCCACGTGTTCTGCACTGCAGTTACTTATTTCTCCACCCTTAAAGATATCTTTCCAATAAATCACCTAATTTAATGTTTGGCTCTTGTGCTGGCAGAAACATGCTGTGCTTTGTCCTGCACTTGCCCCTTCCATCCTTTCCTTTTTGGTCCTTATCTTGCAGTATAAAGTGCGGATCGGAGAGCTGCGGAGCCGGACTTTGAACTTGTCCGTGTGGCACTCCGAGCCCCTGGGGAGGAATGTGTTTCTGGGGGAGGTGGAGGTGTCACTAGGCCTCTGGGACTGGACCTGCTCTCAGCCGCTGTGGCAGGATCTGCAGCCACGGGTAAGGAAGAGCAGGCATGAATGACTTGCATGAAAATACACAATGATGTAGTCACATAAATTAGCATGTGAGTTTGAATGCTCCCAGACAAATATTTACCACAACACTTCTGATGCCTGCATCTACATTTGTTTAGTATCTGAGTATCTTTGTGACAGCAGTTTTGGCAGCTTTGTTGGAGACACAGAATACAGGGAGGAGTGTCTCTTGTGTCTGGGAGAGCTGAAGGGAGAGGAAGACATGCTGTGAATTTCAACTAAGGTTTTATGTAACCTTAATCTTTTCCCTGCCTCCACACTTCTCCCTCCTTTCCCCTTGGTCCCTTTCTTTCGGCGGCTTCTCCTCTGCCTTTATCTTTTGCTCTTTTTGACTCCCCCCTTTGCCCCCCATCACAGGTTAGTATGACTCCAGACTCCATTAGCAGTCGTGGGACCATTGTGCTTTCTATTAAGTTCATCCCAGATGGATTTGAGGGTGAGCAGAGCACACACATCATAGATGCAAGTTGTGTCCTACCCAATCACATATGTCTCATACATTTTGTGTGTGGTGTGTGTGTGTGTGTGTGTGTGTGTGTGTGTGTGTGTGTGTGTGTGTGTGTGTGTGTGTGTGTGTGTGTGTGTGTGTGTGTTTTAAGGTGGTGGTCTGCCTCTGACAGGAGAGCTTCACATCTGGCTTCGTGAAGCTCAAGGTCTTCTGTCCAACAAAGGGGGCCCTATAGACTCCTTTGTTAGAAGGTGTGTCAGTTCTGTAACATATTTCCTGATATTTTGTCATCAGTTATCCATCATGGCATCAATTGTATTTGTAGAACAGGACATATAAACTCATCAGTAAGTTATCACAACTATCCACCTTCTATTAAGAATAAGTCAGAGTGCTGTGTGTATTGTGAAAGAGATTATTTGTAGTCATGAACACACAGATAATTATCACTTGACTTGAGCATCATTCGTCTTGTTGTTTAGCTGTTACGGCCCACAATTGTTTATATTTATTCTCGTCACTCTCATCGGACTCTTTTTTAACTGCAGCAAAAAGGCTTGTAATAAACTAATGTAATAACGCCACATTATGTAACAATCTGTCACATTATTCCACATTTTGTAATTATTACATATTATAGCTATTACAGAATGTTTTTTTAATTTGATAACAAGCTGATCTTAGTTAGTGCTTTTATGTGGATATTTAGACTAAGATCAGAGTCAACTATAATGCCAAGGGGGGCACCACAGGTCATAGGAGTCTCATACACATATTGTGTTAATGCTGTTTATAATATATAGATTATAACATATGAAGTGAAAATGTATTACATTTTGTCGAGTTATTACATAATGCAGTGTTATTACGCAATATCCGCACCAAATGGCAGACAATTAGCAACTAGCTGAACATAATAGAACATTCTGCTGCTAAAAGATATCAGGAGTTGGTGGAGACCAAACCAGAACTAAAAGAAGAGTGAATATTTTATTTTACAATTTAAGAACCTAAACGGGGTATTTACTGTACACACACTGCCAAATATTTAATTTCAACATCTAATCTTTGTATATATACCCACAATATCAATGATTTAACTGAAGTCTCATTTGATCATAATATAATCATAATCTTCACCCCACAAGCTTCATACTCCCAGATGCTAGTCGGCAGAGTGGTCAGAAGACACGGATGGTGAAGCGCTCCATCAGCCCTACCTACAACCACACCATGGTGTATGATGGCTTCCACACCAGCGACCTGAGAGAGGCCTGCGCTGAGCTAACTGTCTGGCAGCGCGAAGGGTTAAAAACACACACCTTAGGAGGGATTCGTCTGAGCTGTGGAACTGGTGAGTGTCTCTACATGCTATTATTCATGTTCGACAGTTTCCAGTCCCACCATTTAGCCAAAGTGACCTTCATCAAGGCTTAAAATTATGCACCGGGTTACACAAGCCTGATCAGCCATCAGTATTGGTAATTAGGGGCAGTATTTGTTCTCCTGTGCTGCAGTCCTTGCGGGTATCAGTCTGGTCTATGCGGAGGGTGTTATCTTATCTCTAATCAAGCAGCTGTCGGTTTCAGGGTGTTGTTGCAGTGTGCTTTTGTTCATATGTTTGTCTTGGTATGGCAAAAGGTTTACAAGATGATGAATAAAAGCTCCCGCATCTCTTTTTGAGATTCAGCTTTGCCTCCCATTTTCTGTGCTGAGCTGTGATTAGGGATCAATGCGATCTCATGGGTCTCCTGACATTTAGTAGGCTTGTAGGAGGGCAGCAGTTTCTACATCAGGGGATGGGACATTAAAGGGGTTACTTGAAACCTCCCTTGTGATGGCAGATTTAGGCCACTATCTATTCTTAGGATTCCTCTCATCCTACTTCTGATAAATATTATTAAGGAAGACCTTTTGTTTAGCATTCTCTTTTTTATAATATATTTCTTATATCCGTTTTCGATATGTATCTTATTAGTAATTCATATATTTTGTATTTTTGTATTTATCTGATGGAAATTGTGTATTGTTGATGTACTGTAATATTGTAAGATTGGCAAATATACTGACTGGAATAGGTGGTTTTTGCTTTTTGATATGAATTGTATGTCATTGTCTTTTGTAAATGTAATGTTTTTATGGTAGAATTATATTTGCTATTTTATTTGATTGAAATTTGAACTTGTTGGATTACCTGTAAATGAGAACCCAGTTACTTAAAGGCACACCTGATGGCAATTAAGCATATAGTGAATCTGATGAAGCAACACTGAAACACGTAGTTAGCTCCTTTTTGTTTTATTTTTAATTACATCTGGAATATATTTTTGTTGTTGGCTGTTTGATTGGTTGGTTTATTTTATGGTCAGCTTTGTATATCATGCCATAGAAACAGTTTTTCCAGTGGTGCACAGTAGTATGGTGACAGTGTTTCACTCCAGTACTTCACATTGTGTTGCATTTTGTCCTGTTGGCATTTCAGGCATTTCAGATGGTCATGTCATCAAAGCAAGGTCATTCCTTGGTCACCAGAGAGTGTTGTACGTGTGGCAACGTGGAAAACACTTTAGCTGTTGAGGAGTAGTTTGCCTTGATATTGATGGTGTTGTTTTGCTCATAGTTGATGTTACTGTACTTGACGAAGTGTGTGTAGCACTCAAGATCAAACCACTGATAGAGCAGCAGAGGGTGAATTGTGGGTTTCATGAAGGAAGATAATGCCAGTGGTGGGAAGTGACAACTTTAATGCGGTTTTGCTTGTTGTAAACAGATCCTCATCATAATGTTGTAATATTCAGAGACAGGCCCAACGTCTGTACACTTTTGGGATTGTTAGTTATTTGGGGATTGTTATTATGATTTCTTGATTTGGCTGTCAGGCATCGTCTCTTGGATTTTAGTCTATTGGTAGAATCATTTGTTTCCACAGGTGTGTCTGCACTGAAGGTAGAACAGGAACACTGATCCTATGCCTTTCATCAGGATATACAGTATATGTAAACATAGGCACATACATACAGGAACAGTGGTCAGTTGTAGATAATATGTTTCCATATACCTCTGTGGATTTTGGTGAGGATTTCTGTATTAATGTCTTCAACATAAATACTGAATAACTGTGTTTTTTGATGGCAGGTCAGAGTTATGGGGAGGCCGTCAGCTGGATGGACTCCACAGAAGATGAAGTTGCTGTGTGGACCTCCATGATCCAAAACCCAAACCACTGGATCGACATAACATTACCAATCAGAACTAACCTTGCACACCGGTCCGACTGACACACGAACACACATTTGTATGCATGCACATGCAAGGGTTGGACTGAAAGGACCCCCTCAGCACATCAGCACATTTAACCTCTCTGTCACAGTGATACACAAGCACTCTGTTTATTTCAGTTTTTCGTATTTACAAACACACACACACACACACACACACACACACACACACACACACACACACACACACACACACACACACACACACACACACAGAGGAGGCAGTAGTGGTGCAATATTGTGAATTAATGGCGTAGAATAGAAAACGAAATCTGTCTGCATTTCAAATGTTTTACTCGTATGTTTTGGTTCAGTCTGTGTCCTATATGACAAAAATGCATTTGTAATCCATTGTAGATTATTAATTAAACCTGAACCGATAACTCATCCAGTGTTTGTATTCACTGACTAAATTAAAATATTACATCAAAAAGACAAGGATGAGAGATACTTTTAATAAATTAATAACAACATATTTATTTCAACTTTAGTTGCAGACCTCTTTTTTTGGAGCATGTGGGAAAAAATGGCCTCATCACTTTCACCCCAATAATTAATAATAATACTAATAATTAGACTTGTAGGGGTCATTACTGTACTTGGATAGAATAAAAAAAATGCCTGCTGTTGCATGTGTTCATTCTTTCCTTTTTATGAAATAGCTGACTACCACCTTGTGGTTAGACTTTGTACTTCCTCTTTATAGCTTCTCACACAGAGAGGACAGTGCCGAATAAGGTTGTTGTTGTTGTTGTTTTGTTTTTTGCATAAAACAAACAGTTTTACATTAGGTATAAACCCTCCCATTTATAATGAAAAGACAGTGGAGCAAAGTGTTTATTATACGAGCCAGAGCTCCTGTCCAGCAGATGGCGATCTTAACTACTTCAAGTTGGAAATAGACCGGAAGTAGGGCTGTTTGGCTTCCAAAATAAAGTCTATGAAGTCCATAGAGTATTAATCCTTGTAATTCATTGTTAATTATTACTGATTAGATAATAGGTAAGTCTTAGGTGCCTGTATTTCTATGTGATCCTTTAAATGTTTTTACTGCCAATTAAGTGGCAATGTATGTGCAGCCTTTGGGATATCTGCAGGTTCAATTTAGGCCCAGTCAGTTATGTAGTTATAGTTATTTATAGACCTATATCCCTTAAAATCATATAATCAATGATCATTTAAAATTGTGAACTGTTTGCAGCCCACTGCACAGAAACCCAATTAACTCGCGCAATAACACTTTTATTTTGAAGGTTGTAGCAGGATGTAGTCGCTTTACATTTCTGTGGCGATTGACACATTGTGCTGTAGGTGAGGGTTAAAGTGGTTGAAGATGTCTCAGATGCTGCTGCTGAGGCTGTTTATCAGCGAGCGACTGAGTGCGGCTGCAGAGGAGATCTTTGCAGCGGTGCAGAGGTCGATGACAGAGCACACAGGGGACCAGCATAGACAAGAAGTGCATCTACACAGTGAAGGTTTGCTTTTTTTATTTATTTATCTTTTGTTACGTCCTAAAGCAGTCTTAAAGGGGAACACCACCGATTTCACACATCATAGTCTGTTTTTTAAGTTGTATAAAGTCCCCCCCCAGACTTTGTGTTTGAAATTAATAAGTGCTGAGATAAAGGGAAACTGTAATGAGTTCAAGCTAATTGTTCACCTTTTCCTCTTAATAGAGACGCCGCAGATCTTTGTCTGTCATGACCAGAAACACAAGCAGGAGTGCAGTCCTGAGAGTGACCACAGCAACCCTAGTGTGGGCCACAATGACTTTGGTCTGCGGGTCCCAGAGCCTCCAGCAATCAAACAGGAACAGCAGGAGCCATGGAGTCCAGGAAGACCACAGCTACCACATATGGAGGACCATGATACCAGCACTTTGACAGTGACCTCCACCTCCATGAAGAGTTGCATTTTCTCAGACATGACTGAGTTACAAACTCATGACACAGGGAATGAAGACAGAAAGCCTGACACATCAGGTGACCACAGAGAGGTTAAGGGAAACCTTCAGCCAAGCAGTGAATGTTGGACTCTGTTGCCAGATTGTCTGGTGACCCTGAATAACATAGGGCCTGAGTTAGGTTTAGAAACACTGACAGGCTACGGTATCAGTAAAGTTCACACGCAGAGCCACACAGGGAGAAACCAGCTGACTAAAAGTTGTGAACCACACAGCCCAATTCCATCAAATAAAGAGGCAAAGAGAGGAGTCAAATCCTACTGCTGTCGTTTCTGTGGCAAAAAATTCAGCCACATTGCACATCTAACCAGACATACTCAAATCCACACCGGTAAGAAACTGTTCACCTGTGAAGTGTGTGGTAAAGAGTTTCGACATGGCAACAGTGTGACTGTGCACATGAGGATTCACACGGAAGAGAAGCCATACCGCTGCAGGATTTGTGGAAAAGAGTTCCGCCACGTGGGCAACTTGAACGTACATATGAGAATCCATACAGGAGAGAAACCCTACAGCTGCACAGTATGCGGGAAGAGGTTCAGTCGAAATAATCTGATGACAAAACACATGTCTGTACACACAGGTGAAATGAAGAGTGTGTGAAGAAGAGGTTCAGTTGGTGTAAAATTCAGTTTTCTGGGGACAGATAGTAAATCTGCTCTTCCTGTATAGAATGACTGCTGATGTAATGGGAAAAACACGAGTTACAATTAATAGTTGTGATTCATCTCAACTATTATATACCTTCGTTTGTAAATTAATTATTGTGAATTGATTTTGAGCATCAAATATGATTTTATATGTAAAATCCTGATATTTTATACATTTCAGGTGGTATATATTCTACCCACTTTGTATAGTGTCTCTTAACATCTTTGACTGAAGATGATGCAGAGGTTAAACTGCTTAAAAGTCAGATCTAAGTTCCTGGTTCCTGTAGCTCAAAGCTCGATACTGAGATGTAACTGGTCAGACTTTGTTAATAAACTCTTATGTTAACCTTAATTAAAATATTATTTATTTCCAATTAGAATTTTGTTTATATTCAATATTCTGGCTATACTGGAGCTGCCATACTGACCTACTCTTCACTTTTTAAATAGGTCAATGAAATAAACTGGCCTACTGTACAGCAAAGGGATTGGTTGAAAGATGTGAGAGTAACCATTGGAAGAGAGGAAATCAAACTTGTAGAATAAAAATAATTAGCAATAACTACAGAAAAGGGGGAAATAAATCTGAGTGTTTGGTTTGAAATTGGAGGGGTTAGGAAATAAGATTATACCTCACTTTACTGATGATTTAATGCAGGGTGTATAATGAATTTCTGTTGGTCACCAATAAATGATCAAGTCCCTGTGACTTTATGCGATTGGTTCACATTTAATAGATCATCAGTAAAGGGATGTTAATTCACAGTTAGTCTATAACTGTTACATTAATAGATATGCATAGATATGCAAGTTAGCTGGATTTCAGTTACATAACAGTTGAATTATGTAACTGTATTTATGTTTATGTGAATGTTTTCATGTTTTCAAATCTGATTTGAAAAAAAAAAGCTTTATATTTCTATCAGAACAGGACTGTCCTGCTTTCAGAGAGGCTGAGAAAATACATGATTCTGAAATAAAGTTTCATGCAACACCCAGCATTACTTAATTTAATTTAATTAATTAAGAATTACTATATAATACTTACTATATAACTATATGATTTGTACCATTATTATAAACTGTTAATGGAAATGATGCAACCCACATCAGAGATTATTATTATTATTTACAGTCATATTTGAGTCGTGCAGTCTTGAATGCGAGGCTAAGCGGTTGCCGTGGCGACGGAACGTAAACATCGCGCCTGTCGGTGGGCTCGTGCTGTGTCTGTCCGGTGTCCCAACTCTTAAAAGTGTCGGAAATGTCTGCGATGAACCGAAAGTTGATACAAACCCTCGTTGAAACAATCTCGAAACAAGTGGAGCACTGTGAGTATTCAGTTAAAACTTATCTAACGTGTTTTTTCTTCTGCTAATGTCGCCTGTTGTTCCGGCGTGCGCTGTGTCTAACGTTAGGTTGTATTGTTTTTAATTGACGCTACCTGCTGCCGTGCAACTATTAACAACACACAGCTGACATAACTTTTATCTCAACGACCCCAGTCAATAAAACAGAGATTGAGTGTCTCATCCGGGAGTTTAACGTGCTTGTGGGGGAGTCGTCTATCCCTGGAAGAGCAGCTCACGGCCTGGACAGAGGGAGGTTCAGGAGCATACTGCACAACATCTTCGGAATGACCGACGACATGATCATGGATGGAGGTATTCCTGTCTGTTGCTGATCGATACTCCTTCTGGCACTTTGATTGAGACGAGTGTGCAGGATGGATGCATGAGTCTGGTGATTGTTTGGTAACCTGGACATGTTCTGAATGTTACTGATGATCTGTCCACCAGTCTTCAGGACATTTGACAGAGACCCCGACGGCTTTGTCAGTATAGACGAATGGATTGAGGGAATGTCTGTTTTACTTCGAGGGACCTTGGATGAAAAAATTAAATGTAAGCTCTCAACTCACACATATAAATCAGTTGCAAGCTATTATTCAGGTAATAACCTTTTTGTTCTTTGCATTGCTTAGACTGCTTTCATGTGTTTGACTTGAACGGGGACAACTACATCTCCAGAGAGGAGATGTTTCACCTGCTGAAGAACAGCCTCATCAGACAGCCCACGGATGAGGACCCTGACGAAGGAATCAAAGACCTGGTGGAGATCACGCTCAAGAAGATGGTAAGATGGATGCAACTGGCCCACTGGTTTAAATGTCTAAACCTTGATACTCTCTGCACTACCTCCTCAAACCTCCAAACAACTTCAGATTTTAGTGTTTCAGAGGGTAATGAGCTAAAATATTCTCAGATCTGTACACATCTCAAAATGTATCACTACTGGCTGCACATTATTGTTTATTTTTGTAGGACCATGACCATGATGGCAGGCTATCTTTCGCTGATTTTGAAAGGGCAGTGAAAGAGGAGAATCTATTACTTGAGGCTTTTGGAAACTGCCTCCCTGACACCACGGTAAGCACAACTTTAAACACTGATGAAAAACTGTAACAACTTACATTTCTAAGTCAGAAATTCTTAAGCTTACTTTCCATTTTCTTCTGTTTTTAGAGTATTGAGAGATTTGAGCAGCATGTATTTCGGGAACAACCGGATCAATGAAGAAATTATATTCATGTGCATTTTCATCTATATATTCTTTAATGGAAATGTTAACAGCTTTTGCACTGTGATGTAATTTGCAAATAAAAACATGCTGCCAAGTGAAACTGTTTGAATTTGTTTAAGTAGTAGCAGTATAATCTGTCCAGTCCATCAAGTCAGCTCACTTGATCAAATCCGACGACGAGGTTTCGGCTTTTTCTGCACTGGTTTGAGGTCAGGAATCGATTCCACCTGAGAAAGATCCACCAAGAGAACTGATTTTACTTACATGAATATAAGCATTTTGACTAACAGTGAATATTTTTTTATTCTGAATTTCCATGAAAACATCAGATTATAGTCTACCTGTTTCAGTGTGTTCCTGATCAGGTTGACAGTTGTGTTCAGTGACTCATCCTCCATGTCTAGTTTAGGTGGTTCTGGTAGCTTTGGTCCAATAAGTGGTTCACTGTTTCCAGTAACATCAGTCAGCGAGAGCTCCGCTGCTTCTTCCATCCTGCGTTTTCTGTTCTCTAAGTGTGTGGTCCTTGGGACAAATCTGACTGCAGAAGATTGATGTGAGGTCAGTCTGTGTTCTGTGCCTCTGTCCCTGTCTGAAGAGGTTTGGATGGAGCTTGAACTCTGTTCTGGCTGCTGTTTTGTGTCAGTGATGGCATTATGTAATGTCCCCATTTTATCCTCTGTTGGTATAGTCCGTTGTTCGCTTTTATGTCCGTAGTAATGATGTTCCTGGGGGGGTACAGGCAGTAGAGGAAAGCTTGAATAATGGCTGATGTTGGACGTCTTCCATGTATTATTTTTGTCAGAGGTTTTATCCTGTCTGGTGATGATCGTCTTTGATGTGGTGGCTGTGTCTGATGACGGGGGATCCTTGTTTACTGCCTCCTGTTGCTTTTCTCTTGCTTTAAAACAGTAATATTAGAGAAAAAAAGCATAATTTCAGAAAATAGTTCTATTCTCATTCTAGTTAATATGTCATTCAAACTGTAAAAACTACTAGAAAAATTGCAGGGTATGAGTGCTTTAAAAACAATAAAGAGTGCAATAAATAATGAGTGCGTTAGTTTTAAATAAAAGTGCATTGAAAGTAGAACAATATACAGTGTAGTATCTATCTCACAGTTTATTGGTGTTTTAGTAAGTAGTAAGTCTATATATGATGGTAAAGTGTACCTTTATTCTGAACAGCCCTGATGATGTATCTCCTCCGGTCCTGCAGCTTTAGTCTGGTGTCTTCCACAGTCTCATATTCTGGGACGTAGCACACATGCAGCACACCACCATAGAAACCCTTCTCATCCATGTGTCGTTTGGCCGCTCTGAAATAAAAAACATTTAAGCAGAATTATTAAGAAAAGTCCATATGCAACGCCTCTGCAACATAATAAGGTAAGGTCACATCCTGAACCTGGCGCTGGTGAGTTTCTGGAACTTGACAAGGTAGACCTCCGTGAACTCCTCAGCAGGGTACTCGTCCAGGGGCCTGTACTCCTCCACAGCTCCGTACAGGGCACACAGCTGGATCAGCTCTGTCATCACCCCAATGGCTGGGACCCCTTGGACCATCAGGTAACGAGACTCTAAGTTGATCGTGTACACCTGATGGTACACAAGACATATATGATCACACTTGCGTTACAATGTATTTGCAACACTATGTTATTTATATTGTTTGGCGTTAGGTTTATTATGCGTGCCGTTTACCCTCTTTATAGCTTTAGATACATGTTTTCTTATTAATACTTATGATATTCTTACCTTAACAGCTTTCGCTTTCCTTCCCTCTCTATATTTTGGTCGAGAAATGCATACTTTCCGCTGTTCGTGGTGTTTATAAACCTCTGGGGCGCCCCAACAGCCTGAATTGTTACTAACAGGTGCCGCCATGTTTCTGGAAGTGTTTTTCGAGTGAGACACTTCAAAGTAAGAGCCCTTTCTCTCTCGAATATGCACGCATCTATTGCGAGTCCATGTGTAGTATCTTATTTTGAAAAGTGGTTCTGCTCGGGATCGCTTGCTCTGGTCTAGCTGGGCACACTCAGAGAACATCGATCAACTAAGAGTTTGTTGCACATTTAGCGTTAGCAGGAGCAACCTGCCTTATATTTGCAGAGCTAGTCAAGTTATGTAGACATTATGTTCAGCAATCAGGGCATTCAACCCGTAACTGTTGCTTTTAACAACACGAAAAACTGCTTTCTTCACCTCTCCTCGAAGTTGACATCGCATCTCTCCCTGAACGAGGTAGGTTAGCTTACCTAGCTATCCAGCTGTTAGTGTCAGCTAATATTAGTGGAAGTTCAGTTTGATGAAACAACGTTCATGCAAAATGTGGAGGCCCGTTTGCGAAAGATAGTGTTTCTGGCGTTTGTGAACATTCTTGTGCGTTTTCTTACTTTAATACGGAAGTAATGTTGCACTCTGATAGTTTCTGAGACCTTGAAGAAAACATAACTCATATTGTATACATCACTCAAGGCTGTCAACGAGCTCTCTAGCATAAAGTTGTTAGTGACACATGATGACTACATGATAAGCCCTGCTGAGTTCATCTTCTGAGAGATCTGTCTGAGGATTTGATATAAAACACATCCGTCAACAGGACAGGAAGTAATAGTAGTTAGATTTAATCCATGTGGTTTGTCCTTGTGTTTAATAACAATTCAGGCATTAATCATTAGTTTATGTCTGTGAGCAGATATGAAACATTGTCTTATAAGTGGTGCAATAATCAGTATTTTCACTGTTCTTCCATTCTGACTATTTTTGTAGTAGTTCCCCTGCAGTCTCACTTGGTGGTGACAAAACTTTACATTTTAGATGGAACAGGAGGTTAAATGCCTGTATATTACTGCATGGTCTTATATCTTGTTTTGCTGTTACCATCTTTATAATAAATGATTTTTAAAAAAACTATGTTTTAATGTGTGATATAGTTTGAAGGGGCATAGATGAAATAGTTCACCCGACAGGTGCACAAGCCTTTCTGCTTTTATGTTTGGCCGGTTTGTGTGGAGTATTATATAAAACCAGTACCACTGGTTGGATGTGTAAAATGACAGAAGAACCTGTTTGCTGTCAGTAAAAGCAGTACAATTATTATACAAAGGTTTAACATATTAAATGCAATGAAAATCAAAAAGTACAACAGTGAAATCTGTCTGTGTCTGTTTTCAGAACCAGGCTCTGGAGTTGTCCTGGGGCCATGGGTCTTCAGTGTTTCTCAGCTGGACTCAGAACAGAACCTCCTCCAGTCTGGACAGCCATAAAGTGGAGCTCTGTCGACAACTGGGAGAAAAGTTGGGCCTGAAAGACGGAGAGCAGGTACGGCTCCACAGTTGGCAATTTGCTCTGTGCTCCATTTTTCAACTGAATAGTCCATAATCTCTATATGACACATACTGGCAGTCTTTAGGTTTAAAGTAATTGACTGTTTCTGTTTAGGCTGGCTTAGGTGTTTGTATTGACTGACTTTTGTGGTTTCCCTCAGGGTTTTCTGAGACCATGTCACCAGGTCTCATCAGTGCATCAAGTGTTTGTGGAGCCTCTGTCATCTGATGACTGGGAAATCTTGGTGAGTGAGCGTGGTGACTTAATTTATAATGGGATGGAAAGAGTACTAGAATATTTCATTTAATTCAGAGCAATTCAGTTTAATTTATATTGCGCCAAATCATAACAGACGTTACTATTACTTTCATAACATTTACCATACAGCCATCCACTTTGTCACAGGTGCCACTTTTTAACACTCATCACTGTAACCTGTCTCTAGTGGCCATCACTCTACACCATGCATCAGATCCACTGATATTATAAAACTATCATTGGCAAAACCCCTCCATATCTTCATTCTCTACTCAACATTCCCAACAGTAACCACAATTTGCGTTCTAGCAAATTCATTACTTTGGACACCGCTAAAGTCTGCACCTCCTTCGTCCATCACTCTTTTCAGTCTTCCACTCCCAGTGACTGGAACCAGTTGCAAAAGTTGATAAAGCTGCACACCCATATTCCGGTACCCCCCTTTCATAACTCAGCACATGCATTAGTTTCTGATCACTGCATCTGCATTTGAACCTACTTCTCTGGAACACAGTACTTTGATCTCTATTGTGTACATACTGTGTATATTATGCTCTTTTAACTCTGTTTAACTCATTAACTGTATAGTTCAATTGTATTGTTTTTTGCATTAGCTGTATGTATGTTTTACTTGCCTCCTGTTGCTGCCTCTTGGCCAGGTTCTCATTGTAAATGAGAATTGGTTCTCAATTGACTTATCTGGTTGAAAACTTTTGGTCAAATAAAAGTAAAATTACTTGACCACGAGTGTATACACTGACATGTTTGTCAGTGTATACACTCGTGGAACGACATCACGCCACTGAGCCGTAATGTCCAATCCAACAATAAATCCTTTTTCTAGACCCTTTGCAGCCCATGAGTACAACCGATTATCAAATTCAAACAACCCCCTTCCTCATTGTAGCGTTATCAGAATTAACAAGAGAAGAGGACAAAACACAGACAAACAAAAATAACCAACAATAAATAAAAAGGACATTGTGAAGGTTAAAACAATCATTAATAAGCTACAGAAATAACCCTGCCTCCCACTATAAAGGTTTACACCAGAGATGGATTTGTGACCCCAAACCACGTCAAACAATATTTTATCATCTTTTTTCTGTAACTCACACCCCCAGGAGCTCCACAGTGCCGCACTGGAGCAGCAGCTGTTGGATCAGATCAGAGTGGTTTTCCAGGATGGTGTGTTTCCTGTGTGGGTGGACAGTCACACAGCCATCTACATCCAAATAGGTCAGAGTTAATACAATAATTATTATCTTTTTTCAGTAGCAAATAGTCTGTTAAATCTGCCTTGTCTTTCTTCCAAACTGAGAAATTCATGGGGAGAACAATACCAAATATGCACTCTGCCTGCATGGTTTGTGTCAATGCTCTGAAAGACATATTTATGAAGATCAAACATTTAATGTGACCTTATATAATAATCCTGAAACATTGTGTGATTTAAATTAGTTAAGCCTAATTACTGAAACATTTGTTAAGCTTCTTTTGTTGAAATTGCATATAT